CAGCTCTTCTCTTATCCAGAACAGCTGTCCGGGTGCCTAGTAACTTGTTTGCTTTTCCCCTTGTTCTTTCTATATACACACCCTCGTTACGTTGAACACAAACCAACGTACTGTAATTGAGCCTTTAATTAAACCTCATGATCGGTCGTTGACACATACACACATAACTGTGACAGATCTCAACCCACGAGTATCATGCCTCAGTCACGCGACAGCTCTCCCTCATCCAGACCCTCTCGCGGAGAGTGGCAGCCAAGAACACATCGCCTTCCTCATACTCCGGTCACCTGGTGAGAGGTGATACAGTGGAACAGGGAGAAGAGAAACGGATGAGGAAAACGGTTTTTGTAACCTGTGTGTCAACCATAATATGGGGTGTGGGGGCGTTTCTGTGTGTGTGCTGCCTAGCCTAGTACTGTATATACCATAACAACATTGTCAGAAGAACATTTTCATCAGGAAAAAACTTGCAAAAAAACTAACGTTAGCTCCGGCCAGCCACTAGGAGCATCTTCCAGCTGGCAGGGCAGGGGGAGAGTTGAAGGAGAGACACACAACGAGCCTGCTCCTTGAATGAGACTGGACCTGTACAGATGACCTGCTCTTACTCCCTCTCCTCTCTGAAATACTGCAGGGAGGACAGAGACTACGTCAGTGGGCTACTTCTTGTTGTAGATATAGTAGTAGCCTAGGGTTATCACGTGTACACACACACACACGGAGTAATAGGTGTATGATTGAAGCACACTTTCAGTCAACACCAATGTAATACACGAATTGTACTCAGCAGAACTGTATATACATGTTTTTGATTGAATTAGCACCACCATTACCATCACAAAAGTAGTGTAAGGATCACGCGTAAAGCTAGTCTTCATGCAGCAAAAACTGCACTGTAATCGCGCAATATTCCACTGCTAAAGACACATTCAGTGGCCTACTTTGGCAAAGGGGAAGCTGTCAGTCATCTCAAACTTCTCCTCCTCCAGCCACCTCCCTGCCTCCAAACTCTGACACACCTGCAGTAAGTACATAAGTAAGTAAGGTTCATGCATGTACAGTACAAAATGCAAGGCTTTAAGCTATTCCAGTTTGTTCTGCTTGCCTTGGCTACTAAAACAATTAGCTCCATGCTTCTTGTACTAACCCTTGTTCTCTTCATATAAGACTAAGTTTTGAGTCACGATGTTGGTTACTCAATGCATATATATGCCATAAGAAAAACAGGTTATGGTTACGAATGAAACACTAACAGTCTCGTATAGAGCACTAGAATGAAACAGATCCAGTCCAAGAGAGGGACCCAGCATCCTCTGACGGTGGCTGATAGAACATTGACTTGACCGTTCCCTGCCTCTGCCGCACACCACGTGGGTCGTAGTGTCCTCCACCTACACACAGAAGAGAGCGACGAATTGAGTGCCAATGTCTGCCTGTTGTACTCAGTCACTGAACAAGACATGTGCAAGAGAGTGGGTATATACATGCAGCATGCACCCAACATCTAGCTTTGTGCTTGAAATCAAAGTTAACATTCTGCCCATCCATCCCACCAGAAAAATTTCATGAGAGCAACTGGCCCATACAATTTGAAGAGACATGCAGCATTCTTAAGCCACATCCCAATCTTACATATGTACTAAGTGCAGGTTTGTAGGTGCACATAATAATATGATGTATTAGGTTTGGTAGAGCAGTAATTACCATGTCGATAACGGTGAATCTTCGAGTTTTTTCACAACTGACAGCACCAACTCCTGGTCCCTGTAGGTAACGGTGTGTGCTCATCTTGCACCTCAATATCCCTTTACTAAAGTCATTTGACTTCTCCTGAGCCCCGAAAAATTGTTGTAAATTTTAACTCCCCACTGGGGTTTGTCTCAGATGCCTCAGGCTCATGGGTGTGGGGCAGCTCATGAACCCCTGGTTCCAGTTTGCCGTGGCCAGAAACCTGGGCTGCAGTTTCCATTGCTGCTCAAAATAATTAGTCCCGATTGGTGGTCGGCTACATATGGGTCTCTACTGTCTGTAGCAGCAGTGAACAAGGGAGCGGCGAGGTAACACCCACTCGCACCTCTTGGGCCCCTCCCGCGAGAAAAAACTTGCAGCGGATGAGCGTTAGAGGTCGAGGACTGACGGTAAGTGTAGCGGCCCGGTGCCTGCGCCAACCACCACCGCTGCAGGAGAACGGTGTACACACACACACACACACACACACCAACTCCCCGTACAAAATGTCTATTCTCAAAAGTCGTTATCTGCGCAAACCGGCCGATTCCGCGTTCGGTATATGTAAGCGTAGAAGGCGCGACTGGCAAAGACATTCACTCGTCAAAGAAGGTATTACAATACTGTGTGGTTATTTGTGTAAATCGTGGTATAGTGTGAAGAATGTCTATAGTTCAGGACTGGTTTCTCGTGACTGAGGTTTGTCCAGAATGTGGCCATCGTAGACAGCATTCGATGAGACGAGATTGAATCTACATGCGGTTATAAACACACATAATGCAAATGAGGTACATACTGAGTGAAGTAGCATAGTGGTATGCTTGTGTGTTGTATTAATTGCGTTGAAGATTGAACCCCTACCAGCTGGCAGCCCAGTTGGTATTGGTAGAGCGCGGACTAGACTGCCAAGTGTTGTGGGTTCGAATCACACCCAGACCCAGGGCAGCTATTCTCTTATCCAGAACAGCTGTCCCGGGTGCAGTTAACTTGTTTGCTTTTTCCCCTTGTCTTTCTATATACACCTCGTAGTTGACACAAAACATACGTACTGTAACTGAGCCTTTAAACCTCATGCGTAGTTGACACATACACACGTAACGTGACTGATCTCAACACACCGAGTATCCATGCCTCAGTCACGCTGACAGCTCCTCCCTCATCCAGACCCTCTCGCGGAGAGTGGCAGCCAACACATACATCTGCCTTCCTCATACTCCGAGTCACCTGGTGAGAGGTGATACAGTGGAACAGGGAGAAGAGAAACGGATGAGGAAAACGGTTTTGTAACCTGTGCGTCAACCATATGGGGGTGGGGGCGTTTTCTGTGTGTGTGCTGCCTAGTACTAGTACCCTAACAACATTTCAGAAGAAACATTTTTATCAGGGAAAACTTTGCAAAAAAAACTAACGTTAGCTCCGCCAGCCACTAGAAGCATCTCCAGCTGGAGGGCAGGGGGAGAGGTTGAGGGAGAGATACACACAGAGCCTGCCTCCTTGAAGAGACTGGACCTGTACAGATGACCTGCCTCCTCCCTCTCCTCTCTGAAATACTGCAGTCAGGACAGAGACTACGTCAATGGGCTACTTCTTGTTGTAGATATAGTAGTAGCCTAGGGTTATCACGTGTACACACACACACACACACACACACACGGAGTAATAGGGTGTATGATTGAAGCACACATTTCAAGTCAAACACCAAATGTAATACACGAAATTGTACTCAGCAAGAATGTATATACATGTTTTTGATTGAATTAGCACCACCATTACCATCACAAAAGTAGTGTAAGGATCACGCGTAAAGCTAGTCTTCATGCAGCAAAAACTGCACTGTAATCGCGCAATAGTCCACTGCTAAAGACACATTCAGTGGCTCACTTTGGCAGCGGGGAAGCTGTCAGTCATCTCATGTCTCTCTCCTCCTCCAGCCACACGTCGCTGCCTCCAACTCTGACAGACAGCTGCAGTACACAGTAAGTAAGGTTCATGCACGTACATTACAAAATCCGAGGCTTTAAGCTATTCCAGTGTTGTTCTGCTTGCCTTGGCTACTAAAACATAATTAAGCTCTATGCTTCATTGCACTAAACCCTTGTTACTTCATATAAGACTAAGTTTTGAGTCACGATGTTGGTTACTCAATGCATAGTATGCCATAAGAAAAACAGGTTATGGGTTACGAATGAAACACTAAACAGTCTCGTATAGAGCACTAGAATGAAGACAGACCCAGTCCAGAGAGAGGACCCAGCATCCTCTGACGGTGGCAGATAGAACATTGACCGTTCTCCTGCCTCTGCCGTCACCACACGTGGGTCGTAGTGTCCTCCACCTACACACAGAAGAGAGCGACGAATTGAGTGCCAATGTCTGCCTGTTGTACTCAGTTACTGAACAAGACATGTGCAAGAGAGTGGGTATATACATGCAGCATGCACCCAACATCTAGCTTTGTGCTTGAAAATCAAAGTTACATTCTGATTCTGCCCATCCATCCCACCAGAAAATTTCATGAGAGCAACTGGCCCATACATTTGAAGGGACATGCAGCATTCTTAAGCCCCCCAAAAAAACATCCCAATCTTTCATATGTACTAAGTGCAGGTTTGTAGTGCACATAATAATATGATGTATTAGGTTTGGTAGAGCAGTAATATACCATGTCGATAACGGTGAATCTTCCGAGTTTTTTCACACTGACAGCAACCAACTCCTGGTCCCTGTAGGTAACGGTGTGTTGCTCATCTCGTCACCTCAATATCCCTTTACTAAGTCTATTTGACTTCTCCCTGAGCCCCCGAAAATTGTCGTAACTTTTTTTAATTTTACATCCAATTGCAAAAACACTAACACCATTGTAATCCCCCGCAATTTATCATTTTCAGTCAAGTACTGTATGTCCCATAAGAAAAGTATGTCTTAAGTAAGTATGTGGTACTGGTTTACACAACCACTTCCTGGGGCTCAGGCTCAGCTAATTGACTCCAGAAACTGACTTGTAAGGTGTTGTGATATTAACTGTATTTAGGAACTGAACCTTTCTTTCTCTCTCTCCCACCCCCCTCTCCCTCCCTCCCTCTCCTCACCCTCTAGAAACACTGGTCATCACCAGACCGGCAGATCTCTGGTGAAAGGTCTACTGTTGTTTGATCTCCTCTTCTTCTTCTTACCAACTGACCCAACCACTCCCTACAACAGAGGAGAGATACTAGCTACGACACACTACTGGTAAGTGTACAATGGCAATGGCAAGATGTCTTGTAAGCCACGTTTTTTACGGCGGATTTAAAATCAGGATTCTTAATGTTGATGACAAGTGAACTGAGTGTGATGCTATGCGAGACCGCACGAGTTGCTAGTAAATCCCTTTCTAAACCATGCCTAACTAATCGCATACCCACACCAAGATTTAGCACTAATAATCCGGATTAAAAGTGGTGGTTTAAAACGCGCCTAGTGGCATTCTAGCAAAAACAGTGGAAAAGGCAGGTGTAGCCTCAAATCTAAGAATGAGTGGAACGAGTGGAAAATCATTTCCATGAAATGTAGGGGGATGTAGGGACTCACGTCATGAAAGAAAATATTAGTTTTCCACCTGTGTACTGGTTGTCTGTTTGGCTGAGGAGATTCAGTAGAGACGCATCTGGTTGGTCTGTTGGCTTACCGCCACTTGTCTTCTTCACTGGAGAACCGAAAAAAAGGGGAGAGATGATACAAAAAACATGGAATTGTAATTAGCTGTGGCCACAAATATCTACATTATACCTTCTTCGAAAACGTACACCTCTTCCTACCCACTATCCTGTATCCCCTGAATGGAATTTGTGTGTGGCTCTCGTTTCGGCTCTAGTACGAACACACAACTGCCATCAATACTTACATACCTCTTTTCTTAGTATTAATCTTTCCGAGGACGACAGCACGTTTCTTTGCCGCGACGGTACTCTTTGTCGATTTGGTCGACTTTTTCGTTGTTACTGCCCTTTTGGTTGACTTGGAAACGACCTTTGAACCCGCCCTGTTCTTCTTGGTGGCAACCTTTGAACTCGGTTCTCGAAAATCTTCGTCTTTGTTTGTTGCTGAAGTAGTCTCTCTAGAGTTGTTTTCTTTCTCTGTTGTTTGTTTACCAGTTTGTTTACTGTTGTCACTTGATTGTTTACTGTTGTTGTTTGTTTGTTTGTCTGAACAGTTGTTGTTGTTGGCAGACAGGAAGGGAGTGATAGATGCTGCAACTGTGAACAAAAGAGGTGCACAGACTTCATAGTTAGAGCTGTATGTACCTAGATCAACGAATCCCTCTCTTGCCTCTCTTTTGCTGTACTCTTACCAATCCACCCTTCAACCTCTAATAAAAGGTGTCAACGATTTTGCATTTTTTTTTGGAACATCGTTGCAAGAAGAGACAAGCCAACTATCTCCAATATTATGACTATCATTAGAGTATGGAATAGTAATGTACTTTATCTCCCTGAACCTATTTGTTTCAATTTAACGAATCCCTTTCCTTTCCCTTTATTTCTCATCTTTCTATACACATACCTGAGAAAGGCTGTCTAGGGGTAGCAGGAGGAAGATTGATCACTGGCAGATCCAACTCACTGTCCTGCTCAACTTCCTGCGGTGCAACGACAAGGAAACAAAGATAGCAGTTGTGAAAACAGGAAGTGATGTCATTTCCAGACCATTTCATTGGAGGATTCCTCCACGATCTCTCTCCTCTTCTTCTCAGCCTCCCTCCCCTCGCCCCTCGAAGGTCTCTTCCTCCTCCTCTCTGCCGGAGAAATCAAATCATGGTACTACAGCAGTAGCTTGAACAATATTATTTCAAGGCTAAAATCGCTAGCCAATCACTGGTGTACGTACTTTTAGTATATGGGTTTTGCAAGGCTCACAACAGAGTGCTGGTGCACTTTTAAATCATAAACTGTATTAGTACGCACCACAGACGTGATGAGGGTTTACTAATCGTAGCTTACTAGTGTCCATGGCAACACTTCCACGCAATCCGCACAGACGTGTAAAACAAGCGTGCGTCAATTTTTATGAAGGCAATTAGATTAAACATTTGGCTGTCTAGCTTGAACAATATTATTATTTCAAGGCTAAAATCGCTAGTCAATCACTGGTGTATGTACTTTTAGTATGGTTTTTGCAAGGCACACAACAAGCATATTTTCATTTTCAAAATCATAAAACTGTAGGTACTTAGTACTCACTCGCACGTGATGATAGTGTGTTCTAATAATATGGTAGTAACGTGCGCATTGTGAGCTTTACTAGTGTACACACCTTCCTTCCATGCAGTTCCGCATACAGTAAAAACAAGGTCAGTGCGTCAAGTGGAGTATACAGGTATCCCTCAACAGCTCGTCGTGTTGAGACACTGACAATTCAGTGCCCTCGGGCATCTCTCGCCTCTTCTTCTCAGCCGCCCCCCCTACGCCCCCGAAGGTCTCTTCTTCCCTCCTCCTCCTCTCTGTCTCTGCCGGAGAATTCAAATCAGGTACTACAAGCAGGAGCTTGAACATTATTATTTGTCAAGGCTAAAAATAATCGCTAGCCGTATCACATGTGTACGTACTGGTTACGTATATGGGTTTTTGCAAGGGCTTCACAACAAAGTGCTGGTGGCACTTTTAATCATAAAACTGTAGTATACGGCACCACAGCTTGATGAAGTGTGTGTTTAACTAATGCGTGCTTACGAAGTGTCCATGGCAACACTGACGTGCGGTGGTCTCGCACCTGTGCCCCGTCTCCTGAGGTGTAAACAAGCTGCGTCAATCTTTTTGTGAGTGTTCGTCCCGATTAGATTAAACATTTGGCTGTCTGCTTGGAACAATTTTTTATTTCAAGGCTAAAATCGCTAGTCCAATCACTGGCGCAACATCGCGATGAGTCAGGGAAAACAGAACAGTAGACATGTGCGCTGGCAGTAAATGGGGTGACCGCACCGGGGCGTGGCGTGCGTTGAGAGCTCCGTCATCAGAAAAAAGAAAGCAGATTTTCAAGGTAAAATCAAAAAACTTGTAGGAAGTAGTACTACACAACAAGTGATGAATTTTTTTAATAAATATGGTAAAGAAACCCTCCATTGAGCTTAGCTAAGTGTCCACTGTCCATGCACATCCGCGACAGGGTAAAAACAAGAACGCGGGACGGCGTGGTCGCACCCACTCCGCTCCCCCAGGATCAAACAAAAATCTTTAAAAACACACAAAAAACATGAACACTAAAAACGTTCAAGGGCACTGCCACAATACACACATCGGGGTTCAGACTGGTAAAGTTGTACAATTGGAGGCTGAAACGTACTCAGGAACGCTCCAATTCCAGGCCTCGGTGTCTAGCACGGACCTCGGTTCTACTGACAGTGTAAAAGTGTGCATCAATTGGGTACGTAATAAAACTGTCGTTAAAACGCGTAAATTCCAGGCCCTCGGGTTTCTAACACCATAGGTTTTACTGACGTGTAAGTGTGCATCAATTGGAGTAAGTAATAAACTGCTCAGAACGCTACAATTTCAATCAGGCTTCTAATGCACGTAGGTTTATGCCTGTGTCTAACTATCATTCAGCTTTCACGTTCAAACCAATTATCTAAGCTCTGTGTATGTACTTTTAGGATATAGGTTTTGGCAAAGTGAACAAAACATAGTGGTGTGCACATTTTCCACTTTCAAAATCATGAAAACTGTAGTTACTGTAGTAGCACTCAACGACGTGATGAAGGTTTTTACTATAATATGGGTATTAACTCGCATTGTAGCTTACTAAGTGTTCCACTTTCCATGCATCCCGCATACAGGTAAAACAAGCGTGCGTCAAATTTTGGCGTAGGTATCTCGTCCGTTAAACCTACAATTCAAGGCCCCTCGGGCTCCTAACACACATATAGATTTAGACGTGTACGTGTAAAGTGTGCATCAATTGGAGTAGCGTGCTCGAACGCTACAATTCAATCAGGTTTCTATGCACGTAGCCTTGTCTCAGTGTCTAACTATATTTCAGCTTCATCTTTCAAACCATTACCTAAGCTCTTTGCGATCTCTTCCTCCAGAGTTTGGGCTGCTTGATTTGATTCTCTTGATCTTTCCTAACACGACCGGTGTTGAGGACGCGTCAGCCGTGTCACGAGTGATCACTGGATACTTGCCTCCGATATCCAATCATTGGCTCTCTTACAAACTGTGGGTGTGCAACGGTATAATACTCAGACATGTTAAAACCAAGAAAGAAGGGATGGTTAACGGGATAGAAGGAAAATGTCAAAAGTTTTTTTAACATAGTTAAAAAAATAAGGGAATCAAATAGTAGGAGAGATGATAGATGTGTATGTAGAGACCACAAAAGCAGAGGAAACAAGAGATGAACAAATAGATAGAGTCAGCAAATCACACACATGCAAGCCTGAGGGAGAGTTAGCTGTAGCATTCTGCGAGCTAGCAAATTCTATATATTGTTAAGTAGTCAGAGAGGATCATTGGGCAGTTGCCCTGTAAGTAGTAAATGTCACTCCAATTAATGCCACACTTGTCGTTTCCACGTTGTGGGTCTGCTTCATAGCATATTGTAAGCATGTCTCTCTTGCGATGACTGTATAGTATAGGAGTGGAGGCGGCACTCTAAAGCCAGAGGAGAGAGAGAGAGAGATATTACACTTACGCTCGACCCAGAGTGGAGAGACGAGGAAGACGAGGAGATCTGGTTTTCTCTGCTCTCTCCCTCGCGGCGGCAGGTGGAGGGTTTCCCATCTTTGAACACCACGAGACATGTCCCGTCCCGTGGTGCAACCTTGGACACACCTGACAGAAACACACCGAGTGTGCCGCGCCTATCGATACACTATGACATCACTATGTTCGCGGTGGATCATGAACTTCTTGCATGGATCCAGGAGTGTGGGAGATGCGCTATATTAGGAGAGTGATGGTAGCGTTACGCAATTCGGAAAAGTATTAGCATCGGCTCTTCACTGCTCCTTGTTGTTCCATATAATCTTTCTCTTGCATACTCTTGGATAGAAGAGAGGACTACAGCTGGCTCCCAGGGTCTCCGTTCAGCAGGCAATTGGCACTATCTGAGTCTGGACTCTGTGCTCTCTCCCTGCCACTGTCTGTTGACCTGCTCCTCCACATGAGCATGACTCCGGTCGAGAGAGAGAGGAGAGGGAAGGGAGAGTGAGAGGATGAGAAGGAGAGGGAGAAAGCGAGGGAGAAGAGAGTAAGAGAGGAGGGAGAGATCGAGAGAGATAAACAGGGCAGCAGGAGAAGAGATAAGAAACGAAGAGAAAGAGAGATGCTGGTTTTGTTTTTTATGGTAGCGAGGAAAAATGGAACGGGGAGGGACGACAGAGATAGGCATATGTTAAGGGGAAGAAAGAGACCAGTCGACTCGTCTTATATTACAGACCAGTAAGTAATTCACCCATTGCAAGGCTCTGGCACAGTGCTGGGTGCACAGTTCAGGAGAGAGAGATTCTTGTACGTCGTCGTCGGCAACAACGTCCTCGATCTGACCACATCCTATAAAACCTCCCACTCCCGAGATTCACCCGATGGTTGTCTCAGTAGGAGTGGAGTCCTCTATCTGCTGCCACTGACGGGTGGCTATGGACTCACCATGTGGATACCATAACATGTCATATTACTCAACTCTATAACAGTCCAAATAACAACACACTGTGGGTGACCATCCACGTGAGGTTGTACTAGCCTAGCTAGCCGGCCAGACTTCACCCGGATCGAAGCCGTAGAACGGTGATCTCCCCTATCCTAAGTGTCTGGTCGGGACCAGTGATGTATCACAGCATGCGCAGCGTCGCCGCCGTATTACCTGATGTAGCTAGCCCACACTGCCATGCCAGACGTTGTATATACCGTTCTGATCTAGTCTTTGGCTGTAGATGAGATCACAAGACAAGGGCGGCACACCACCACTATCGTGTTCGTTCCCGCCAAAAACCTTCGCCGCGCATTCGTACCTGCGCCTTGCCCTGCGACCACCCTCGTGCAACACCCCCCCCTCTCACCTAGCCCTCCTGTTGTTCTTCCCCCCGTTCCTCAGAGACCCCCGTCCCCGCCTCTTCTCTTTCTCCCGCCCCCCTTCCACTTGCATATTCAGCTACCCTTTTGTCCCGGCTTGCTGTTTTCTCGCTCTTCTGCCCCTGTGCCCGCCCTTTTCCCCCCCTTCGCCACCCTTTCCCTCCCTCTTCTCCCCATGCCCCTCCCCCCCTCCCCTCCCTTTTCCCCTCTTTCCCTTCGGTTTCTGTCTCTCTTTCTTTCCTTCTCCCCTCTCCATTCCCTGTTTTCTTTTCTCCTCCTTTGCTTTCCCTCCCTTCCCTTGGTCCCTCCTCTCCCCCCCCCTTTTTTCTCCCCAGACCCCCTCCTCTTTTTCCTTTTCTCCCTTCCTTCTCCTTCTTCTCTGTCCTTTCCTTTCGTTTCCCCTTCCTGCCTCTTCCCTCTCCCACTTTCTCCCTTTTTTTTTTTCCTTTTCCCTTTCTTTTCTCCCTTCCCCTCCTTCTTCCGCAACTGAACACAGGCACCCCACCGCTACCCCACCACTTTCCCAATTTTTCCCCTCCCCATTTTCTCTTTCTTATTTCTTCTTCCCCCTCTCCATTCCCCCCCTTCCCCCTCCCTCCCACTCTTTTCTCTTTCCTTCCTCCCCCCCTCCTCTTCTCTCCTCCTTTTCCCATTTCCAGAGCCCGACTAGGTACGAAGTGGGGTGTGCTGGTACGATTTGAGGTGAGACATGGGAGAATGGGGTGGTCACCACGCAGCCTGGCGAGGCTGGTCATATTTGGACTAGAGTCGAGTGGGAGGTGTAGCCTCCCCATCCTTCCTTTCTTCCCCCTTTCTTCGCCCGCACCCCCCCCCCCGGCGACCAAACCCAGAAACTCACGGAACTTTTCAATGAACCCGAGTGCTCCGCGTTTTTGTAGTGACCTACCCAGCGGAACGCGCAGCGAGCGCCACGACGCGGAAGGGCCTGGAGGGGGGTTCATTGAATCCCCGGTATGTCCCGAGTATACGGAGTACATAACATGTTTAGTGCCAGAGCAAATCAGCTCCGTATACGCGCCCCCCAAAAAAAAAACAGCCGCGTTTTCAAGCAGAGACGAGAATGTCCGCAGCGAGACCAAAGCCACACGCACGACCGGAGCGGCCAGAGTCATATCGTGCGGGATATTGTACGCCGAACGCTTAGGATACGCTGCTCAGCCGCTCTAGATTACTCCGCTGTGGGATGTCCTGAAGAAACGCGACAGGAGACCTGCGCGAACCATCGCAATCTGAGGGGCGAGGATGTGGAGAATTCAGGCGCTGTGCGGGCCCCCCACCGGCAATGACTCTACTAACCGACGGCGTTCGCCCGTTTAGACTTAGTTAGAGTTTGTCGGCGCGACTCGCTCCGGAGCCCCAACCTCTTATTTGCGGCGGTTGTTTGGGGCCCGGGCTGAGCTGCCTGGCTTATGGCAGGAGGGCGCTGGGCCTCCCCGCCCCGCCCCCCGCCCCCCTGTTCCTTTTGGCCCCACGCCCCAGCCCCTCCCCACACCCCCCCGCTTCCCCGTTATCCCTTTTGCTCCCCCCCTTCTCCACCACCAACCACACTAACCAACCACCCCACACACAACCCGCTTTAAAACACCCGACCACGCGAAGATACATTTCCAACCTACAAAAAAAAGAACAAAACACCAAAACACAACAGCATACCACCACACCTAAAAAACTCCCGAAAACTCCAACCCCACAAACCCCCACACACAAAAAAAACCAACCAACAAAAACCCAAAACCACAAACAAAACCGGAACACACAATAACCAACTCGCCACCACCCAACTCAACGTTACTAATTTAAGACAGCCCATTCATCACTGCTCACGAGTTCATATGAGAAATCAGGAAACCTCGTCCCACCCCTCGCTGGCGCTTGCCTCGCTATGCATCACAACGCCTCCTTGGGTGACGGTGTTCCTCCCCCCCGTCCTGCTCCGCTCCCGCTCTCGACCCCCTACTTCCCTTCTCGTTCGCGTTCCGGCCCCACTCACACCAAGCACCATCGAAGCCTCCACGTGACCTCTCGGCAGAAGCCTGCACACAGATCACACACACAACCCACACACAACCTGTAACCCCGCCACCCTGCATCTTGGAACCTCCTGCCCCCAGACTAGCCCAACACAACCCCACGACAGAGTTCCAATTCCCACGGCACCACGCGGCCCCACAGTCACCACATTGATATCCACTTTTCGTCTATACTCTCTAAGCCCACACGACAACCACTTAGGCAGCGTGTGGGGTATGAATAACCAATCCCACTTACCGGTCATGGTGGCTGGGCTAGCAAAGTGGAATGATATCCGTGCTGCTGACGTAGCTAGTCACCTGTGTGGATGATAGAGGTATCAAATCACCGCTCAGCTCATAGTGTATCCAGACACAAGCAGTTAGCTAAGTGTGGCGTTGTACACGCACGTCGATGTGTCAGAAGAGAGAGGGGTATGCGTCCGCCTTTTCGAACGTCTATTCGCTCTAGCGGGTAAAAGTAGCTACTGCTTCAGCAGCTAGCTAGGCCTTATGCGATTCGTGAAGCGGCCGTATGGGTCAGTAGATATTGATGTCATTGTATAATGATACCTGTCCTGCATGCTAGTGTCGCCTCTAGAAAAGAACTACGAGCCAACCCCAGCTCGAGACGACCCACCAGCACCTTTTTTGGTGTCGCTTGAACCTACGCAAGCGCTTTTGCGAGCGTCCGCGACACACGCTCAGCGCTGATGAGTGTCGTCACTGTCGGGTAAACCCAAGAATACCCCTGCCGCGTAGCTTTATCACGCATGCGTAACTGATGCGAGTCTGGGAGTTTCGCCCTTATTTGGCGTGGAAACGCACCTTATGGCGTCCGTCGGTACCCGCTCTACCACTTCCACGACTGGCATCATTTGACTCCTGGCGATTTATTTATATTTTTATTTATTAATTTTATTTTTTACTCCAATTATCACTCATCACTATGTTTAGTTCCGCTGAGTAAAAAAAATAATAAAACATTTTTATAAAAAGAAAGTGGTACCACAGGCGTGTGGCAGGCACGGCGTTGAATCACCACATATCAGGATGTTCACCACATTATCAAACACTTGTTACATAATCATTGATTCGCTAGCGCGAACATGATTTTTTGGTTCGAGTTGTCTAGATGTGAGCTCAGAGTACTAATAGGTTCTCTCCAGTGACAGGGATCCGTTTCCTTGCAGCCACTGCTGGAGAATCTCTTTCACCGCAATGCCTCATAGTCGCCGCGACACTCGCCTCAATGTTCCTGCCGGCAGAGCCTAGCTAGAGTGTGTCTCAACCAGCAATAGACTGCCGAAATTCGACGCATGACTCGACTCTCTGTGGGACTTTGAGTCTCAGTAGCCATGCGGTAGAGCTAGCTGACCTGGAACATAGACACAGAATAGTGCACAATAATCGATGCGCGTACCTGACTTGTCTAATGAGCAAGGTATATACTACACCAGGCAAGATAAATGCATGGTCAGCAAGTACGAGTGCACTCTTTTGAGTCATGTATCCCAGTTGGGCAGTACTGTATGCATGGTTTGTGGTTGAGAAGTGAAGCATTACCTTCACATCCAAAGGTCCAACCAACTCTACCACATTGTATAACGTCAATACAGAAATCTGGTTAACGCAACAAAGGTCTCACCAGGTGGGTGAGCCATGAGAAGCGGACAGGACGCGAGGAGAGCGAGGGGCACGATACAGCGTGCTCGCGTCGGGCCCGCGGAGAGCATTCCTGCGAGCTGAGTTGCTTGCACTGTTAGCCGCAGTCCTTCAGAGCTTCAACAATACTCTTCCAGCTTGGTAGGGGTGTTACTGAGCCATGTCTGCATGTAGTTACTTGTGCGATCGTCTCTCTCTATCTTCGTCGACGTTATCTAGATCCCGTAGATCCACTCCCAAGTTTGAAAGTTAGATCTTATGTCTGTGCTATGGAGAGAGAAAGTCTCTAGAGCCTTAGTCACCTCATGCAGTTCCAGACGAGTGGCCATGTCTTGCTAGCTATACCTGTAGGGGAAGATGTAGTGAAACGGTCAGCGAGCATTGTAAAGCTGGATCAACTAAGGCGCAAAACCTTCGACTTCGCTGAGAAATCGACACTATGCACAATAGCTAGCACGGTTTACCGTTGTTACTCGTTCCTCCTAGAGCCTATGTTACGGTGGTCCCTCCCCCTCGGTCCCTCCCAATTTCTTTCCGGTGAGAACGCGCGCCGCCCACCAGGAATGCGCATAAAAGACGACAGACTAAGCGAATGTAGCTACTTAGTTACACGAATGCAATGGACAGAAGAAGAGGTAACGAAACATAGTGTTACATCGTATTACCGGCGTAGCTACAGACATTCATTTCCGCTCACCTCAGTGTTGCTACTGGTTTTCCTGACAGTCTCTGGGACTGCACTGCTGCTGGGAGATGAAGTATCAGCTAATGCCACCCAGAACTGCTGTAAGTCTGTTATATAATAACAGCTACTTTCACCTCTTTGCTACACTAATGCTATATACCCATCATACTGTTGTAATGGGTAGCTAGCTATACACTGTAATAGCAAGCATAAAGCCTCTGTAATTGCAGCCATGATTACTCAGCAATTGTATGTGATTGTTGTGTCTACAGATGCCAGTTCCTCAGCTACTACATCGTGCCTGGTAAACTACGAGTCTTCTCTCATCCTGCACTGTCCCAACACGGCAACCAACTCATCTTCACACGGTGAATGGTGGAAACAGAATCCAACCACCGGAAGGCCACAGGGAGTCTGCTACGACAGAAATTGCACCCTCTACAAACCCCTTCATAACGAAGACACTGCCGTCTACTTTTGTCAGATGTCAGACAGGAAGTACTACGTCAATGTCACTGTTTTGGGTATGCATTTCATGCTAATGGAGAGTATGTATAATTATATGAGACCAGAATGAAGCAAAATCTGAGTAGGGTCAGCGGCTATGTAAATAGTTAGCTAACATCTCTGTTCTCAAGGCGCTGCAAAATTTCATTGACTGGTGTATCTTTCTGGCCTCTGCTAAAATCATCCATGCACCAACACTGGTGTTTATACACCTCGTGATCATTTCACTCATGTGCCTCAGGTTTCACATAAGGTTTGTGAGGAGATCCATCAATCCCCCAAAAAACTGGCATTTGACATCCTCAAGAGTCCCTCATCTGCTCTGTGGTCTTTACTAATCTCTTATCAATTAAAATAAAAAAATCCCCTATGCTGTCATTGTATGCATTAGAGCTCTGGGCATATGTTACTTACTACACAGTGGTAGACCACAGTATATATAGTCCCTGTGGCAATGTATATACTAAGCAGTATATACAGCCTATGTTTTTTCCACCCCCAAAGACAGGTAAAAAAACTCCCCTGCCTCAGTTTTTCCCATGGTGTCATGCTCTACCTGTGTAAACAGAGATAGGATGTAGTCAAAACATCCTGAAACCCTTGCAGCTGCCTCAACTTCCTCTGGAAGTCAATAGGGATTTATGTAGTATGTCACAAGCATACTATCAATAGGTACACACCAACCATTGAGATACCTATTCATCTCCATTTACTGGGCTAACTTTCAAGGATGCTAAAACTTCCACATGCATCAGGAGACAGTATGGAGCAAATGAATTATGGGGGCATGCAGGGAAAGGGCCAAAAAAACAACATAGGAGAAAAAACTGAGAAGGATGACAATTTTGCAAAGTTTGTCTGTTTCAGTATCAACCCCTGACTAGAATGAATTCGAGGGTGTGGTTCCAGGAAAGCAACCTCACTTACAATTAATTCTTCATTTTATCTGACAAACACACATAATAAAAATCCACCTAGAGCAGTTCACTTCAGACATCGACACACTTGCAGTATAGAAAGAAAAGATTTGGAGTGAATGAATTCAAGCTCCATGAACAGGGCATACTGTTATACTGGATTATTACTTGTTATAGTTGGCAAAATGTATTACTAGTAGTTACTGTCGCTAACTCTTTCTCCAGCCCCACCGTCCATAGTCTGCGACCCTGAGTTCTGCACCTGTTACGAATCCAGCAAAACATGTCGTCAACCACTCATAACCAGGGTGTGGGACGAAGACATCCAGCTCACTACAAACTTCAGTGGTCAAGGTCCACTGAGTGTGGTATGGGAGCACAGAGGGAGGGTACTCAACTGCAGCACTGAGTCGAGTGACGACATAAAATGTACCATCACCCGACGAAAGACATCGACTTATGAGTATGAAGTAAGACATCCTTTAAAATTAACTGTTGTGTTGGCTATGCTAGACACATTCAGCTTACGGGTGAATTATGCCATACTAATAAAGCACCATGAGTTTGTGCAGGTTTGCATAGCATGCATCCTCTGTGTAGCTATGTGCAAAACTGGATTCCATCTCATACCAACACTTGACCTGGTTCTCTGCCCGTGTATCTATCTACTTTTCAGACACTGACTCTGCCAGGACCACTGGAGACGGACTGGTACAACGGAACATACATTGCCAATGTCTCCAATCCATACGGATACAACCTGACAAAGCAGTATGTGGAAATCATTTGTAAGTGAAGAAAACACCCACGCAGTCTACTATTAGATATGTGAGTGCATATGAATCATTCACCACACAATGTAGCTACATAATTGCATCTCTCTTAACGAGGGGTGTTAACTTTCCGCTCCAATAAGCATCTCTCCTTGCTCAGAGCTTTTATTAGTGCAGAGAATGGTTGGGTTTCATTTCCAATTTCAATTTCCTTATCACTTAAGTCATTTCTCTCCCTGTTAAGGCTCTACAGTTGAGCCACCAAAGTCAGCTGGTAACCAAACCACCTCTCTAACAAAGGGAGAGACTCGTCACGTGACACTCACCACCCGCGGCAGTCGACAGTTCTACATGTGGGTCTGCTTCACCACAGACCCCAGCATCGACATGTGGAACATCACACTCAACAGCTCCTGCGTTAAATGCAAAGAGAAATCGTGCGACTCCCACGGTATACCCAATCGTCCCCACTGGACAGTGGACAGAAGTGAAACTGGCTGTTCGGGGGATTCCATCATTGATCTGTCAGTACTAGTGAAAGACTTTAGTAAGAGAGACACTGGGAGACTGATGCTGACGTGGTCTACTGATTCCTCTGAGCAGGGACCTCAACAGCACCAAGTGTTGACTGTGACCTCGCTCCGCTACAAGGAGAGTTTGAGTGGGTATGTGTATGCGGGGATAGGTGTGGGGGGAGGGTGTGTGGTGCTCGGGGTGAGTGTGGTGGCAGTGGTGATCGGGAGGTTCTGGTACAAGAGAAAGAAAACTGCCGCCCAAAGAGCTCGCAGAAGGGCTGAGAGAAGACGTGAGTTCATCCTATAGTTCTTTGAGGCAGATTTTTGTTGTTTTAGTATGCACAATACATTAGTGCACAGCTCACATTGCAATTCAAAATGGTTACCCAAATTCTTCGTCGCTATTTGTAAATTCTGTTCTTTGCTTTGCGCGTAACACGATGGTAAAGTATATTGTGTGTACACAAGGGTTTGACTAGATGTTGATTATCTCAGATGCGGCTCGTAACGGTGGGGGCAGAGGAGAAGATGAAGCTAGTGACAATGATAATGACCGGCAGCACCTTGTCGGAGGAGGCGACAGAGGTAATGGATAGCTAGCTGAGTATGGCACGACTGCTCATAGCACACCAGGGACTGTTTTTGATTTGTCCTACCAACAAAATATTAGTTGCAAGCAGCACAATAGCCTGCTGCCACGTTACTGCTTTTTAAACATTTACTCTCGTAACACTTGGATTTGTATTAGTAAAGGAGTCTACTCAGACCATTATTATTGTACGTATATATTATACTTCCCCTCTCGTTCCACATGCACAAGGATTAACTTAATGATGCACTGTTTCTCAGGTTATGGTGCTATTCCAAGACATGGACATGGCATTAACAGTGACACAGCACCTTCAGAAATTGGTGAGTACAACCCTGTAATTCAGGATATATATTAACGTATTCTGATTACCACAGAAAATGAAGTTGTGCTACAAACTGATAGTGAAGGCACTACAAGAGACGTTTAGAAATCACTTTTTCATAGCTAGCACGTTTTGTGTATGTGAAGCAGTCAGTATACCTTTCATAGTACACTCTGGAGTGATGACAAAGATGCAAGAAAATAATTTGGGCAACCATAACATTTATATAGTTCATGTGCATTGCTAGCCATGATTCAATGTATAGACACTATATGTGGGGTGTGTGGGTTATTGCCGAGAGCTGAGATAATAGCAAACTCCAGGCCTAGAGGCACGGGTATTATTTGACACCATTTTTTCTCGTCTTGTGCCTCAGACCATGTGTTTTCACGACTGGTTTACTTCCAGCTAAGTTTCACTTTTTTGCAAGTGTGTTTTGGGAATCATATATAATAGCTCAAAAAATAAACAGGTTCAAAAAATAGCTATTGCTTTTATTTGAAAAGTTCAACACTATCGGTTGCTTCAGTCTCGGAGTGAAAAAGTTTTGAAGTGAATCCCCCAACTACTACGAGGCAGTCTTCACCAAGAGCTGCTGCAAGACAATCATATCGCTTCTTCTTCATTTGACTAACGATAGTCCAAGAGTTAGTGTGGGAGTCATATCTATAGACATTGGATGTTGGTTTTCTATATCCATACCACCACCAACAGCTAGCAAGTGCCCACCAAATGCTACAAGAGCGGAGCCATCAACTGGTAAAGAACTGATCTCCTTCCATACATTGGGAGGTTGAGAACCCACTCTGTTGTGGGTGCAAGAGATCAGGAATGGAGCAGGTGAAGACTGATGTTCCAATCCTCTGATATAGAGTGAATCGTCAAACAATGCTGTTGACAAAAACATGGATTTTTGTGGGAAAGAAGCAACTGTTGCCCACTGTTTAGTGTTGGTGTTCATTACTTCCACAATATCTACCTATCTGATACACCCTTAACTGCACCACCTGCGACAACTAGAGCCTGTTCAGTAGTGACACAAGCCACATGCATACGTGGTGTGGGCATGGGAGGGAAGACCTCGGACCACTCCTTCTTCTCACCTTCTCCTGTGAGACTGAGGAGAGTGTTAGTGGGACCGTAGCCACCAACACTAGTCAGAAGACCATCAATAACTGCCAGACCAAAATCTACATTAGGGTTATCTGGGAGCTGAGACCATTGTTCGTTCCCTGAAATGTTCTGGTATGAGTAGACCTGATGTTGACATGCAAAAAATGCTGAGTTTCCATACACCACAGATGCACCACCAAAGTTGACCATTGTTTCTGGTGCATTATTTCCCTCACTCCACTTCTTCTTGCTTAAATCTACTGCCACGGCTGTCTGTGGTGCTGAGGCTGGCTGTTGGTCTCCCCTGGCCCTGTCTCCCTGCTTCAGCTGCTGAATCTTTCTCTCGTGGTCTGATATGGTCCTCTGTAAGTCAGTGATGGTCTTGTCTTTCAGCTGCAAGCTCTGCTGAAACTCTGACACCAACTGCTCACTGGCTTGTAGCTCCTGATCCCTGCTAGCTATCGCAACTTCCATTGCTTGATGCTTTTGTTGTAGCTGTCTATCCTTGTCCTGAATTTCTCTATCCCTCTCCCGTATCACGTTCTCTAAGCCTGTAATTTGTTCCCGATTTCTCGCCACTGTAGTATTAGTTAAGATTCTCTGGCCTTGAAGTTGCAGCTGAAGTTGTTCGATTTCACTGCTGTGCTCTGCCTGTTCCCTGCTCTCTGTGAACCCAGAGGACTGTTTCAGTTCAGACAGCCTCTCACTGAGCTGATGAGCTGAGGGACGCTCGTTCTCCATCTTCTTCAGACATTGGAGGGCTAGCGGCTTCAGAGCGTGGGAGTTTGCGATCAACCTGAGGTGGGCCTGGCGACGCTCTGCGTCTGGAACTAATACTCTAACTTGTTCCTTAAACTGAGGAACTGAAACTAATCTAAACCGATCGGTTGGATTAGGGAACTGCCTGGTCAAGATCTGGACGACTATGACACCAAAGGAGAAGACGTCAAGCTTAGACGTGTAGGATTTCGCTTCGTCCAGAGCTTCAGGTGACATGTACAGGACATTACCTGGGCACAGGGTCAAGGCCGTCATGCGAGGATTGACGGTAGCAAGTTTCGACATCCCGAAATCTGTGATCTTGGCTCGAATGCCAGCGATCATCAAGACGTTGTTTCCCGTTAGGTCTCTGTGGATGAGACCATTGGAGTGTAGGTAGACCAGAGCCAGTGCTATGTCGTGGGCCATGTTCACCTGAGTGTGGTAGGACAGTGGTCCTGGGGATCGCTCCAGGAATGCTGTCAGACTTTCATCGCAGAGCTCCATGAGGAGAACAGGCAGTCGTGTGTCAGGGTCAGTGTAAGTACCCAGGTACTGGACTACATTGGGGTGCCTCGCTAGACTAAGTAGGTGGCATTCCTCCCGGAACTTACGAAGGTAGGAGGCAGTTCCGGGGTCACGCAGGTCAAAGAGAGTGGGGTGCATGATCTTGGCAGCACACAGCAGTCCATCACACTTGGCCTTGTACACCCCTCCATATGATCCACTACCGAGACTCTCGGATTTGTAGAGCTCAATGTTGTGGTAGGAAAACTCAGTTGGTCGCTCTGCCATGGTTTGGAGGTCTGCAGTTGAAATAGTTGTAGCTAGCTAAACAAAAGCAACGAAGAAACTCTGTAACCTTACATTATCTTTCAAATTCCAGCAGGGCGGGTTGTACAAAAGGTGAGGGCGTTTCTCCTTGGCTCGGTTCTTTCACAGCATAGCTGAATTCCGTATTTGGTGTACAAATGCGATATTCACGCGTTTGTGTCACTGCGCATGCGTTGCCACTGATTTATGACGACAACCGCGGGAAAAACAAACTCAGGGACTCTAATTTGACAACGTCCATATTCTTACTGGACGGTCTGGATCAGTGGTAACTACAATATCAGTCATTGCCACTGCTGCTTGAGTACTGGACTGTTGAATACTCGTAGGTATAAAGGGAACACTGACTATCTACATAATAATTACAAAAACACACACCCCCCTCTGTTTTAGGTTTATTGTGCACTGTATATTACCTCCTCTGTAGTCACTGATCTGTGAGGGTTCATGGTAGCTAATCCGGTTTTGCATCGTAATTTTGCGCATGCTCATAGCTTGTACGTTCTTGGAACACTGCACACCCAACGTTTTGCAACACACACTTGCCATAATAGAACACATTACAGAGTCATTTACCCCCTCTAGCGTGCGGATACCTGTGAAAAGGCTAGAGACTATTTGGGCTAGCGCACGCCCCCGACCTGGTATGGTCTGGTCTTGTCTGGCTGTCAATACGTAATGCAAGCTGCGCACAGGCAGCCTGCCAAGAGCAGAAAATAATTGCACGCCACACGGGTAACGCGGCTTCTTCTAGCTTCGCCCGACACTCGAACACCTCTATAAAAGAGACGGAGGTACGTGACTGACTCGGGTAGAGATCGGGAGACGCGCACTGGCTACTGCTCTTCCTCTCTACCTTCTGCAGCCGGGCAATACAACACCAGGTCGACTCTCGCCGTTCTTCACTTCGACTGCAAATCCTTGTCGTGTGCAAGACCGGGATGGGTCGTCTTCTAGTCTGCGTGTCGCTCTGCGCCATCATCCTCTCTTCGCTGACGGACGCCGCCGAGATATGCCGTCGGAGCTTTTACATCGACGAAGACATTGACCTGTTTGGTGAGCAGATGTTCGTGCTCTAGCTAGCTGTATACACACGCGTATAGTACAGTCATTTGTGCCAAGCTATTAGTAGCTGACAGTGTCCTTGTGAGCAAGTCATGCTCGTGCATAGCTAGTTTTCTTCTTGAATCTGCACATGGTGAGTTGCATTATAGCTAGTGTCATTATTGTGTTATGTTATGCGTGTGCGAGTGTATGTGAGTGTGGTTTCCTCCAAAGAATAAGTTAGCAATAGCCCTCTTTTGCTTGTGGTTGTGTCTAAAGAGGGAAATGTTTTATTTCTTGCCAGGGGCTGAGTAGCTACATACGTACATAGTTGTATCTGTGCCGTACTGTGTGAATTAATACTATTATCTCAGACTGGCTCGCCACTAATGGTCCAGTGAATGCGGCTCTCCAGTGCCTGCCAAGTTTTCACCTCACAAGGGGCTGGATTGAACCCACTAGGATCCCTAGGCCACAATACAAGGCACCCAATAGTCCTTTGCAAATCTTGGCACTAAGAGACACACCACTCTTGCAATACTTTTCTCAACAGCTATATGTAAGGGCAAGGTAGCTGTACTTTAGTGTTGTCTGGATACATGAAAAGTTTAAGTGGACTTAAATTATCTCCATGGCGCCCGTGTAATTATGGCTCTACAATTGAGTCATGCATGTGTATGTAGCTATGTAACTGTGTTTGTAGTGCATGCAGTGATAGATTGTGCTATAGCTCAGTTTCCTCCAGGCAACATGTTACCCCTGCTCAGCTGCTCTTTTGAATAGCCCATATCTGTGCATAATACGATATGTGTACGTATCTATTGTTCTGAATGTACTGATGTCTTCTGGCAGCTATATATAGTTCTGGCACAGGTGCTACAACCTCTGTAGATTGCGTGAAAGTACTGACTGAACTTGCTTCCCTGCCAGCAGCCTGTCTCACTTGTACCATCTCACCACCCACCCGTAATTACAAACTTTTATTACAGCTCTTGGAATAAAGTTTGTGATGCCAGCATCAATATTATATATACGACATATGACTCAGCTCCAAAAAGGTGTTTACGGTAGACACCACCACACCCAGTCTTGCAATAAACATCCTGTTGCTTCCTTTTACACAAAAAAACTGTCAGCTCCTCAATAACAGAAATGAAACACAGATTATGTCACTTGGCTAGTAGACCTATGTGTAATGATGATTAGCTACGACCTCTTACACAATTCCCTCTGTATTAATTAATGAGGGTGCAGTCTGTGCTGCAGTTGCAGTATAAAATGTAGCCAGTGAATTATTATTATGCACTTCTATCATGAATAAAAGAACATAAGGATGTTATGATTTGGCAACCTAATGAATGAGTAACCCCCATAATTAGCAACAAGGAAGAAACTGAACATTTTGTGCATATTTTTGGTTGCTGCACATGTGCTTGAACCTACCGCACCAATTAACCTTGCTGAGGTCTGCCTGTGTTGCCAGAACTATTCAGGGCCAGTAGCTAGTCAAAGGAAGGTGGCTGTTGACACTTAGTTTCCTCACTGTGGGTAGCTTGTACCCAAAATCAATCTCGGCATTTGACTGTTTGTCAAGGTGTGAAGGACGGCCCAATTTAACCTTTCCATATGCAGACACACATGATAGATTGATTGTCTATCTACGTATAACAAAGGCCACTATCACCTGTTGCAATAATGTGTGTGTGTTACCTCCAGGCATGCACTATATATACAGCAAGAGTTGTTTGTTGTTGCAGGGACATCAGACTATTACACTAGCAGCCTTTTGGAGATCACTCACCGTGCAATAACTGTAACCCACCCCGGCTTGCCCACCCACCCACCCTTCAGCATAACAGAGTTACTGTTTTTCTCAAGTTTCTCTCTCTTTGTTTAGAGCTATAATAATACTATACCTACATTCATGTGTATGTAGCTATGTGTCTCAACAACTTGGTGGCGAGGTAGAAAGGCAAGGCAAACAAGTCAACTATGTGTACATAGTGTATGTGTGTTCCAATCTCACTTGTTACACAGCCATAAAATTCCCCGACTCTTGCCCTTATGACTACACTCGTAGATCAACAAACAAACCCTGACAAGAACTGATTTTTACTTAGCTTGCTGTGGTACCACGCAATACTGCTTGCTTGTAGTGGGGTACATACCGATTAAGTAGACCCTCTCGTTTAGACTATTAACTATGAGAGGCACATTGCATAACAATATATTGAACACACTTGGTCGCCAATAATAGAAAATTTAGTTTGGATACTGAAAAAAGGCAAAGATTGGCAGATTTCCAGAGACCATAGTCTGCAGTCACAACATGTGTCCATATAGAGTACCATCGGATTACTAAGACACTGTCCTATGCACTAATATAGTTAAAGAGGTGACTGAGGATCATTCTTCTATCTACTAGTACCGATGCGAGGTTTTTGTTGGTTGTGTATGGCAATACCAGGCTGTCATGTCACAATCTGTAAGTTGGTGTCAGTAGCACAGCTACACAGCAAGTGAAATTATTCTATGACCACACAATAGGAAGATATTTGTAGCATAAGGGCCGAGTTTCATGCCCTTTAGCATTGGGAGCAGGTGGTGAACTATTCACTGGGGTGAAAAGAGCTAAGTGCTGCAGTTTGTATGTGCTAGATGGTACTATTTAACCTCTGTCAGAGGCGGGCTACATGGAGGTTGGGTCTTTGTTTTGCTTCTGGCATTGGATATAGCTGAAACAAATTGCTCTGTTAATGAGCCCTCTGAAGAAAACTAATTCGTGAGCAGGAATATTTGCTCTTGTGCAAGCTGAATGCAGTACTTTCGCTCATGGCAGGAATTCAGCAAGAAAACCTCCGTGGATTGTCTGCCCAGCAACACAATTGTCCCTTTCACACATTTCACGGATAAAACTCTAGCGGATGGTTCAGAACACGCATCATCAGTTTAGCTTCCTTCACCATCTGCATATAACTATCCGCCACCCCCCTTTCCCTAGACTGTGTGGGCAGCCATCACTAGTCAGGGGCAGTGGAAGACAGTCTTAGTTCCCACAGACTCCAAGTGCTAATTCGCGTACTAGTCCACGTGTGACCTTTGGGTTTACTTTATCAAGCCCTATGCATTTTAGATTTCTCACAAAACTTTACCACAGACATTATACAGTATTGCTCTTTAGTTGCCACTTTGATTTTTCAAACTCTGTGTCTCGTGATACATACAAACAGGGAACTACACTGACCTTGTGACGTTGAGTATGGACTGCTCCAAGGCGGGGTTTCCCTCCCTGACTGTGGCAGTAGAGCCGCGGCTGAGAGACCAGATTGAGAGCCGGGAGAGCCTCAACGGGAAGGTGGCATTCTCCATCAGATGCGAAATGAACAACACCGTCAAATTCATGAACAGGAGTGCAGTGGTGAGTGAGTAGCTATTTAGTAGTTGCCAAAGAATGCCATAGGGACAGTCATGTGCTCTCACTTTGGTTCATCGTGTCTTAGCTGTTTTTTTTGCTCTTTTTGTTCATGTCTATGCTCTTTCGTTGTAGGAAACGTGTTTAGAGCGATGAATGTAAAATGAAAAGGGTGGGGCGGGGGCGATGGCCACTCTACAGTACTGCATTAAAATTCCAGAAAGGGGGAGTTGTTGAGACCAGTTCGTGCAGTGAATTGGCTCATTTGAGCCTGTCCAGAATTAGATCATGTGTGGCTAGTTGACAAGAGAAGCGTTAAGTGCTCCAACACCATGGGGTTGCCCCTGCTCTAGAATCATACCAGGTTACAACAAAATGTGTAGCTATAATACATCATGTAGCTAGCTGCAAGTTAAAGCAAGTCACGACAGCCGTATAAGGTGTCCCCTCTTCTGTTTCTCTTCTTCAGGTGAAAAAGAGTGAGCCTTGGACCTCGCACATACAGTTTGGTAACTATCTCCCGCTGGGGCAAAACTGCTCTGTCGTGGGCTGCTTCTGGGACTCGTACAGCAGTGTGGCGGAGCAGAGGAGATATGCTGTTCAAGGATCCTCGTGTTTTACCAGTGAGACTCTACCGTTTAAATAGCATCGGAACCCTCTCGAAGGACACCCCTAAAGTGATGAGGACACTGTAATCTTTCCTTCCAAAAGAGATGTTTTTTGTATTTTACTCCTGATTAATTTAGTAAGAAAACCTCATTGCTTTCTTCTTCTCTTAAATTTGAGGTGTTTGGCTGCTTCAGTAGCTATATAATATGTTGTAAAAAAAGGAGGAAGATACCAGCCAAGCATGAACTTTGATTGTAAAACAGTTCCCCGATGCCAAAGAAACGGTGTTTGTTTTTGCAGATCTGAACGAGTGTGAGATGGATCCAGGACTGTGCGAACAGGAATGTACAGACACCGTTGCCGGCTACGAGTGCTCCTGCTCAGCAGGGTTCCGACTGGACAACAATTCTAGGAACTGTACTGGTAAGCGAGTTAAGGGAGGGAAAAGCCAGGGAGGAAGCGTGAGACAAACAGCAAACAAAAGTGATATAAGATCAATGCAGACTGGTATTTGCGACAAGAGTTGCTTCAAAACAAGATTAACAATCTCCCCTGTCTGATATTGATGCTCAATACTGCTATCAACTTTGCATACAAACACGAGTAGTCTGTTTAAGTACATTTTGATTAGGACCAATTCATCACTTTCAAAGTGTTATAAATACACACCACTAGCACTATAATATACAGGTGTTAGGTTATTGCACTGTCTTTAAAACCCTTCCATGCTGTTAGTGTTTCAACCAATCATGATGGTACACAATACCATGAAAGTATTATTTATAGCATACTAGCCACAGAGAATAGAAAAGAAAGAAAGAAAACCAGAAGTCACCCTCCACCCTCCAACCCCCATCCTCCACCCATACACAGACACAAACCACACAGTTGCACACAACCGGTAGGACACCAGGTGCCCCAGCCTTGAGAACTGGGGCGGTGGGTTAAAGAGCCTTTTATGCCATGACACTCAATAGATGCTCCGCTAAAGGGTTTGCTAATAATGATGCTCTGCTAAAGGGTTTTGCTAATTATTAGTGTGTTCACAATCACTTGCATACACCGTACATGGTGTTTGCAAAGTACATTATTTGTGTTTTGTCAACCACTATTCTCTGAACGAATGGTTACACCAGCTTACGTAACCTCCTACCTAAGCATCGGTCAAGTTTATTCTAAGACAGTATACAGCAAAAAATACAACCAGAATAATTATGTTGATTTACGCGGAAGGGTTATTATTAGAGCCTCGTTTGAGTATATCCCTTCATTATGATTTCCACTTTTTCACACTGTGCTAAAGGGTTGGCTAGTGAAGGTGTTCACAATTGGAAGGAGAGTATAGCGACATGACGGAGGGGCAGTATAGTATATACCTGCTTTTCGCTGAAGACGTTCTGTAAAGTGACAAGCCCTGGGCTGCGGTCTGTTTGTGTAACGTGCTCCAGTGACTCTGTAAAGATACTGTGTGACAATGTGCATCATTCCACTCTCAGATGTGGACGAGTGTTCTGATGGAACTCATAACTGCAGCCACCACTGTACCAACACTGAGGGGAGCTATCTCTGCACATGTCCTTCCGGCTACAGTCTGGATCAAGAAAACACCACTTGCAATGGTGACCTCACATCTCATACACTAATGCTAGTACTGTTCATACCAAACCTGTCATAATGGGTTTTGACCCTTGTGTGCAATTAAACAAGAAAGAGCAAAAGTTTAGTTAATAGTTGTGTTTTTTTTAATCTCTCTGCAGATATTGATGAGTGCTCGAGTGAGGAAAACCCCTGTCATCACCAGTGTGATAACACCGCCGGCAGTTTCCGTTGTCTGTGCACAGAAGGCTTCAGACTCTCCGAGGACCAGCATTCGTGCCAAGGTCAGTTTGTAGGCTATATATCGATTGACTTCTCTTTTCAAATCATTTCTCTCTCTCTCTGATTTGAAACTTTCAACTGTCGGAGGTTTAAAGCAGGACACCTTAATTCATTGTTGTGTCTTCTATTAGATATCGATGAGTGTGACCCTGAATCAGGTTTCAATCAGCAGTGTCAACATTCCTGTACAAACTCCATCGGGAGCTATTCCTGTTCCTGTGAAGACGGCTACACACTCAGCTCTGATCGCCACCGCTGTCTAGGTGAGAGGAAAACCCTCTCATTAACATGCTTATAGAACTACTCCCCGTGTTCATGCCAAAGTGGACTTTAGATGTGTGTGTATGATTTTGACTTGCGGCTGTAAGGATAAAAGCAGTTACGTGTTTCCGACCAGTCACAACACTGATTATGATGCAGTATTAGGAATTTAATCATCTACATTGCATACTGACTCCATCCCTTTTATCTAGGAATGCACAAACAATGGCTCTCCCCTATGAACGTGAATGGATTTGGCCACCTGCTCTCTAAAATGACAAACACCTGTGCATAATGAGTACAAAAAGGCTTCTTGGGCCTGTATACTGTCATTACATGCGAGAGAGCAGTAGTTATCCTAGACTTTCTTAAATAATTTGCCAAAGTTGCCTCTATAGATGTACATCCATGTAGCACTATTCATAATGACAAATGCCTGGTTTTTGCGTACACAACATTTTGAAGAAAACTTACTATAAATAGCTACCATGTCTATATACGTAGCTAGCAAAGTTCACAATAACTGAGTATTCATGCTCATGCTATTATTATTACACAAAGCACATGCAGCCATTGCTTCTTTATCCCACTATTGCATAATCTGTGTTGTGCACATATCCTTACTGAATCAAAGTTATACTCTGAACCCGCAGGAGCAGGAGAGTGTGAGAACCCAGGAGTGTGTGCCCACGTCTGTGTCAACACCAGTGGGGACTACTTCTGTCAGTGCCACTCTGGCTACCAGCTGAGTCATGACGGACACAACTGCACTGGTGAGCAAGGACTCAGGTTTCCATGCTTTAGGGATACTCGTAATTCTTTCTGCAATCCTACATCTGAGAAAAGGACTTAGGGTTCCATGCCTTAGGGAAACTCGTACTGCCATCCTACATCTGAGAGTGAAGTATGATCATGATGATTGCTAGAAAATTAAGGGTGATTTAATCAGAAAACTGATCATCATAGCACGCTCAGCTAAAAAAATATGATCGGGACAGAAGCACACTGACGCAAGCATGCACACTTACCGCATGCACTCTCACCGACTATTTCACACGTTGTGTTTATCCTCGTTTACAATTTCAGCTCAATAGATTGCTGAGGTTTGACTTAATTGGGGGACGTTGTTGAAAGGTTCCTCATTTTCTGTGTTTTGTTTCGTCCCTTCCCTTTGAAAAGATGTGTCACTTTGTCGCCACTTTGTCGCTTCTTTAATCATGGCCAGTTTGTGCGACAGAGCTCTTTGGCACAATTCTTGCTGAAAGCATAGGAAACTGAGGCGACATATGCTCGAAGGCCTCCAGGTGCATGCCAAAGGCTAATGATAAGACTTTGCTGGGTGCATCCCATTGGCTCCGTCCAAAGCCACCGTCAAAAGGCAGCCATAATAAAGAGGTCATTTCCAAAGAAGTGTGTGTGTGTGCGTGTGTCAGACTAGTCTGTCATCTCTACACGCTTGCAGGTGTGTGTGTCTGAGTGAGAACGCTTTCCAAATAATCATCCCCAGAGGCAGTGAGAGTGTGTCTAGAAATTGCCCCGTGCCCACTTCGCCTTGGCTGCTGCACGCTGCCATGTTTCCGGTCTCGGTGATCTCTTTCTTGGACACTTAGGAGTGTCACTCGAACTTCCATTAGACGAGTGGCCATAAGCTAATACAAACAGTTGTATTGACTTATCTGTGCCAGCTAGCAGCACTTGGATGCTAAAAGTGTATCGAGGGGGTGTTCTGAATAAATATGCATCCAGTTATGCATGGTAGTGAATGGCAATCCAAAATTATTGTCATTAAAGATGGGGCCAATGGTGGCTACAGTTTTGATTCACAGTATATGGGCACGTATGAGTACTTGCGTGTACTTTGTAGGGTGTGTGCTATTAAGCTTCACGGATGAATTGATTTCACTGGAAATGGACTTAATTGTTTGCCACTGTTTCCTGGTAGGCTCTCTGTTGCCAAGTCGCGTTCTCTCGTATTTGTTTGCGCTAGCCGCCCACTACTATAGCTAACCATTGGCTTGGTGTGTGCTTTCATGGTGCTGTAAGGAAGAGAAATGAAGGACAGAGGGAGAATAGAGTAGAAAGTAGGGAGCTAAGAGGAAGGGAAAAATTGGGAAAGAACAGGGAGTCGGAGAGAGAGAGTGGACTCACCAAAAACAAACCCTGACCACCGTCTATACCCAGCAATCATTTCCCAGATTCCACAATTACGTGTACTTACGCTCATAAGAAGACAGTATGTGTGTGTGTAGTGTCCTGCACTGAAGAAGGAATTGGGCACCCAGAGTGATGCAAGGTTACATAAGCTCTGTGTACAAACAAATAACTGTGGGCTCTGGACTAGTGCCAAAAAAGTTCGGCATTGGCAGAGAGAAATAATCAAAATTCCTACCTTTTTCACTGATTATTTGATGTTACTGTAACACTATGTGTGTATTATGCATGAATACGGCATGCTTAATTCCTTGAGTATAGCTAGGTAAATAGATTGTGCTGCATTTGCCAATGTTTGTAGACAGTATAATAAGATTACTCTATCTGATGTATACACTGTGTCTGTAATTTTTGGGCCTCGTTTATTCAGGAGGAAAGGCTAATCGAGTTAATTAAAGAGAAATTATGTTAAGTCGAATCCTAAAAATGTTTCGTTACCAAATACGTTGTTCCAAATATCCCAGTCTGTCAACCTCAGCGATTGTCAGACAACCCCCGCTTTTCTCCAATAGGCAGCACAGGCTGGTAATTAAAATACCACAGTCAGACAAACGATAATTGCATTCTCATTACAGCAATTCTCTTAAAAAGGGCATGAGAGAGTGAATGGCAGTATAAACTGATTAAGACCCTCGCCAGACAGGAACAGTCTATGTCCTCACAACCCCCGTTCCTCTAAAAATGGTTGCAGGCAGGGACCAGTGACAGTATATACAACTCCCAGACAGAATTACCATTGTAATGTTGGCATTTTATTGCTGGCTAACCTGGTTTTCTCTGCCCCGTAGCCAAGATACGGCTGGACGATGGAGTTCTTGTCATCTACATGCCCTGGGCTGTCCCGCTGGCCTGCGCCAGTCTTCTCCTCCTCCTGGCACTGGCTCTCTACTACAGCATAACTCGCCGGAGAAAAAACGGACACATGTGAGCCTACGTAACTTCTATATAAAAACCTCCATTACTAATCGACACAAAATTGGTGGATTATGTCACGTGACACAATTTTTCCAAAGAGTATGGCTTGTACATATTAGGGCAAGCTTATGAACTTCTTCTGTCCACTAGTACAACTTTATAGCGTGTAGAGCCTTATGTGATCTGACAGACTTCTTGGTAGCGTTCACAATTACATAAGTCCAAAAGGTGAAGATAGGTAGGTTAATTGCTAAGCCGAGAACAATAATTATTAGAAGGAAGGGCTGCATGCTGCAGGGTAGGGGGTTTCCATATGAGTTCTAGTGAAAAAGGATGAATGGCCATTTCCGTCTCTCACTGACTTGCCTCTCATTGTCCCACAGTCTGGAGACTAACCAGGACCTTTACGAGTTCTACCTCACTCAGGAGGTGAGCTGCCAAATTGGCTCAATCTAAATCTGTCACACCATTCACCGGAGAGGATCTCTTGTTAATACACATGTTTTGGTGAATGGTTGCAGTACCACGGCATGATTGACAAGCAAGAACTTACAACTAGAAGAATGCCAGTGTATAGTGTCTATATTAGGGGTATCATCCAGGTTAATTGATGGGTGTTAGGCTTATAACAGGTTGTTGGCTAGGAAAGCCACCTTCCAACGCAGTGTCCCTTGGACATCATAGAAAGCATTATTGTTCACTAGTTTTGCAAAGAAAACTGAAAATTAGCACAGGTTTGCACGCCAAATGCATTGCTAGTAGCCAACACCCAATTATTTAGGACGTATTTGTAGCTTCATGTCATGTGTCAAATGCACTGTTTCTCTGCCAGAAAATTGACTGCAGCTACCAGCCTGTTGATCTCAGCAACGGCATCCCGTTTGACACAGAATCCATCCACAGCGAGATGACCTCCTTCCACAGCGCTTCAAACACAAACGAGGACCTAGCGAAACTCGCTGCTCCCGAACAGACTAAACTCGTCCTCGTTACGTACGACCCATCTGCATTTAGCAGCAAGGAGAACCTTGCAGCACCGACCGATACGGGTACGGAGGCAAACGAACCGTCACAGGAGAACGACGCGAGTAACTTGGACACATCCAACGCCGTGGAATTTGGGAAAGGACTTGAAAATATTCCCAGCCAGGACTCACACGATTCATGCATCGGAAGCTCCATTGCTGGAGACACGAGTTCGGGATTCAGAGCCTCAACTATCCTCTGCACTCCGGACACAAGCAGCTCTTCATTCACTCATTCAACCGACACTTCAGCAAACAGCGACTACATTGCCACGGGCTGCGAATCTTCACCCTCTTCATCCTTGTCCCATCGAAATACCCCGCCAGATTTTTCTGCTAATCCAATCCTCGGTAGCAGCAACAGCAAGGTCCTAAATCTGCCCGGAAGCAAAGAAAGCGGTTCCGACATTGCCACCACGACTGAGATCCCACTAATGAGCAAAGGATCCCCAAACAGTTTGGGTGGAAAAGAGACAAAGACATTCTCAAAGAGCAAAGACTATATCCATGCTACAAATGCCCTCTTTGCGATGGTCGATAGAACTCCCAGCAACTCGGAGTAAGGCGCACCGGAATCACCTATAGCAGCTCTCACTTTCTTGCCGAGACTATCATCATCATAAAAGTGTTATTTGCCCCCACACAGTTGTGTTGCATCTCTTTGTAGCTCTTTCGGTATCACACAGTTAGAGCTATACTAATACCACAGGCTCATCATTTCAAAAGGCATAGTGTTCTATATATAACGTTGTCTATCATCCAATCCCAACTTTTACATGGGTATAGCTCCCCATTTGTATGTATGTATGTATCTATGCTCACCACCAACAATCTCTTTGTAAATTTCAAAATGTTCCCCAACTATCACATTTACTGATTTTAAACAATTGCAAATAATTATTATGACTGGGTGATGAAAGTTTGCAATCTATATAACGAACATGTTCAATGTGCCCACCTACGTACAATGCCTTGAGGTAGTATATAAAAATGACATCATATATACATAGGAGGCCATTGTCACATGTTGCATCACCAACTTTGGCCTCCCACGACACATTGGCATTCCAGAATCTCTGCACCTGAGTGATTTATCGTCAAAATTGGATAAAACGACGCCTGAACATAGTTATACAGCAAATATGGCCCCAGAGGCAATCAAATGCAAAACAGAGGACTGATTATAGTAAAGCCTATAAAAGCTCTTGTATTAGCAAAAGTGGACTTGACAGAGACAGATGCCAGCAGGTGTGGCTGTCAGAAACCTCATATGTTGGGTGTTTGAGCCACTCAGTCTCGCGACCTAGAGGTCCATGACGCGCCTTTTAACTCAATTCCGAGAATCGTCATTGCAATTCCTGGAAAGTTGAGAGGCTGAATGCTTACGGCAAATTAGTAATAAATGAATATGTGGGTGTGGTGCTATATTAAGAGCACTTCCGGTAAACAGACTAATAGCCCAAAATGATCAATCAACAAATGCAGACAAAAGTGGCAGTGTACAAGTAGAAGGTGGAGCAGCTATATATTCTAACAGGCAGTGTTGCATTGGCAATATAGGTTTTTTATCTGAATGTTTAAAAATTGTGGCCACCTAAAATCTGTGATCCCCATTTTTAACCTTGACTCTAGGGCGGGAAGACCGACGGCTGTGGTGATAAGAGCCGTCTGGGCAAGTAAGTCGATATGATTCACCTATCCAAATTGATTTCTGTTGCAAATGCAGAGATGAAAAGTGGTTAGTTTAAAAGCTAAGGTGGGGTAGGTATATAGCTACGTATCTAATGCTGAGGCATGGTTGCATCAGCTTGGCAATCTAGGTTTGAGCACGACTTATTATCTGAATGTTTGCGAATACGACGGTGTCATTTTCTAAGAACCGCTCACTAGGTGGTCCGGGTGATCCATGAATGGAAGAGATGGATAAGATTGGCAATCTAGGTTGGAGCACGACTCATTATCTGAATGTTTGCGAATACGACGGTGTCATTTTCTAAGAAACCGCTCACTAGGTGGTCCGGGTGATCCATAAATGGAAGAGATGGATAAGGTTGGCAATGCAACATAACAGAAGTGATGAATAAGCTATTGACGATGTGTTTGTGGCACAGTGGCTTTTAAAGGGCAGACAGCCTCTTAAACCAACTATTAATTGAATTGGTACAGCAAATTCAGACGGAAACGATGTCGCCAAACAGCACAATTTTTGTGTCACGAACCAAAATTATTATCAGTGTAGGCTGTTGGATGGGAAAAATTAAATTAATGTAAGTGGATTTCCAGAAATCGATGCGAGTAGGGTTGGCTGGCAGCAATCTCAATATTTTAAAGTCTGTATGTGATTATTCCTTGATGTTGGAACATGTGCCACTCCCACCATGCCTGTTCTAGGAACCCATCAGGAATTCCTGGTAATGTAGAAGGTGTGCATACTCGTGACTCCAAAGAGCTCTCATTTTCCCGGAAAAAGGTCTCCTCCCATTGACATAAACAGTATTATTGGTACAAAGCAAGAAAAGGAAAAGGGTTTGAAGTGGATAATGTAGTCATGCAAGGGTAGACTAGCATGTAAATGGAGACCCTTGAACAGCCCAGCAGCCACAAACTCTCATATCCACGAAATTTGTATATTATAACTACATGTCTTATAGCTGTAAGTCCAGAGCAAAAGGTTATGGCAAAGATGCATGATGGGAACAGTTGCATTTGTGAATAGTTGAAATAAATATTGCATTGATTTGCTCTTTTCACACTACATTATCTCCTGCAGGTATTAGCAGGTATTTTGTTTGTAAAAGCAGTGTTTTTACTATTATTATACCATAATTACACGGTTCATACACTGCCATACACTTGAAAATGACGAAGAGTGATGCTTTGTAAGCAGGAAATACTTAAACTTGCGTTCTTATGAGTGATATTAAAAGAGAGAAAGGATGACAAAAAGTACTGCCGTAGTATAAGGCGATGACTGAAGTTAAAAATGCAGAAGGTCTAGTAGCATTCATCAAAGAGTGCCAAAGGAGATAAACAATTAAACGTGTGTTAGTCTTGACTGGATTCTGTGATGGTAGCACATGAGGGTGTCCCCCCTCCAGAGGCCAGGATTCTTCTACTGCACTCTGCAGTGAGCATGAACATCTGGACAATGCCATTGAGTCCCTGGTCCTTCACTTGGAGTTTGGTCTGGAGAATCATGTCCACCAGTTTCTCATTGTCTGTTTCACCTGCAGCCACCACCTGCGGAGATAGTTAGAGGGGGTGAGAGGAAAAGTGAGCGACACACTGAAAAAGACTGATTGTAGAAAGAATGCTAGGCATTTTTTGGTAAGAGATTGCAAGAAACTCTCAAGAGAATCAGCTTTGAAGTGTTCCACAGTACATGAAAACTAAACAGCTCACGCTTTCACAAGAAGAAAGTAGAAAATGAGAGAGAGAGAGATATAATTGTGTATCCTAAGCACCCATTGTCTAGTGTGACAGTATAATCTGATAGTAGACTTGCTTTTCTTGCCTATAATTAAAGACAATTACGTGGGCGAAAGAGCTTTAGCTGGTACTTTTAAACAGCTCATATTATTTTCCCGACACGTATAGTTAGGCCTACTGCAGCTTTCAAAAAATAATAATAGTGCCAACTTTAGTGGCTCACAGTGTTGAGTTTGGGACTGAGTCGAAAGTATGGAATCCCCAACTCCTCGCATCTGCTCTTGCAGTTCTTTGCAACTAGCTCTGAGTTCACCAACTGACAGAGTGAAAGAAAAGCATGTGACACGAGACATGGAGAGAGTGAGAGAGAGAGAGAGGCTGTAGCTACAGTTACATACAACTCTCTCTATGCTGTGTGTGTCTGTGTGATTTTAAGGAAGTCCATGGTTATTTGGTTCCAAAGATTCTGCCCAAACATACGTACGTACCATTGTAAAGCTAACTACTTCCTTTCTATCAATGGTTGTTTTGGGTAAGTATTTCATTGGCTGATTATGCTTTAGACGGATACTCGTGAATCATAATATAACTAGGCATGCATTACATACATGGCTGCACTTACCAAGAACTTGCTCACTAGCAGCATGTGTAGTAACTGTATGTTGTTACTTACTATCCCTATATACACGAGCTTCAATATACAACTCTTCTCCCTGTGCATCTAGACCATGCAAAGGATGCTCGTTAATTGCTCACAGCATTGGAGAGGAGTGAGATGAGATTTGTGGCCCTGTCCATCAACTTCCCCAGCTTGAACCAGTGCTTTCCAAAGAACAGGAACTCCTGGATGTATATAGCACGCACACCACAGTGTTATATACTCATTCCCCCTACATGCTACATACCACTTATCATCGTACTAAGATCTTCCCTATTACTGCAGTATTATAGACACTAGATATTTTGATAGAATTCATCTCTTATTCCATGGGGTGACATATTTACTATAATGACATGTAGTTTCTGCCCATACATTTCTAATGTGCTCGAGAAACGGTTCGTGACTTCACAAAACTGGTCAGACTAGGCCACTTGTCCATCTACACCTTTTTTGATGAGGTGGTCTAAAAAAGAGGCCTATATATTATACTGAGTGAGAGTGTACTGTGCCATAGCACAGTGGTTTGAGGTGTGCCTTTGTGTTGTAGATTCGAACCCCTACCAGCTGAGTTGCCCTGGTAGCTCAGTTGGTAGAGCGCGCGCTCGCCTAGACTGCAGAGTGTAGGTTCAAATCCCACCCAGGGCAGCTCTTCTTGAAAAGAAAGATACGTCCTGGGTGTAGTTGACTTGTTTGCCTTGCCTTGCCTTTCTACCTCACTACCTATTATGTATACATGTATACCTGGGCATCCACCTTCCCCAGTACCTCAGGAGGATACTGCCCCGTCCCAATCGAAACGACCATTGATATGAGGAGTCTCTCTCCCTGCAACCGGTAGAAGTTTTGTATGGCAGTGAGGCCACAGTCGCAGGGGTTGTTGGCCAGGACACCTCCGTCTACGTAGTTCTCAAACTCTCCAAAGAAGATCGGGGAGGCAGACGTGTAGCGACCTACCTTCCACACCAGCTCTGTGAGTAACGGCAGAGAGTGGGAGAGAGTTACGCTACACCCAGGACACAAAACACTATTATCAGAAAATGCTGGAAAATAATGTGTGTGTAGTGGTGTTGACGTACACTGTGTGTGTCAGTGGACAGTGGAGCAAGATGTGAGGTCATTTCTAGCAACAAACTTTCTCTGTCTCTTGTATTATTCATCATATTTTAAAACTATACAAGCATGAGATAAGAGGTAATAGAGTACTGTTTTACCTTCATCGAATCCATCTCCAAAACAGTTGTTAAAGAACCTAAGCTCAGGGTTGGTTGTCGATTTGTCAACCGCTGCAACCAGAACCCTGCAGTGAGATGAAAGTTGTGCTATAGTCACGTGTTTCCTATGGAAAAGAGAGCATAATCATTACAATAAAGTGCCATTCTATTGGTACGTACACCTCTATAAGCCGTGGGTTACTTGAGTTGGCGGAAATCTGTAAAGCATACCATGAAGGTATTAGACCATGTGATGCCATGTCTTTCGTAGCATGTACGTAACTAATGGCATTACGTACAAGCAGAACGCATTTGGCAAGCACAATGTTACGTAATACTCGCAACACATTTCTGAGTGCATGACATGCCCTTGGGCGTTACACCAGTCTAGGTCCTCCCGTAATGCAGCTGGAGACGGTCTTTTGCCTCAATTAACCTTGAATGCACCGACAGTTGAATGACGTGCGTGTGTGTAAACTAGCTATACAAGTCTGGACTCAGTGACTGGGATAGACAATACATTACGCATGGATTACATGCCAGGATTGTCATTTCCGTGTGCAAGAGGGTTAGGTATTTGCCAAAAGGATAACTCATGTAATAACAGACTTTTCATAGAGAAGCTGATGCTAAATGGGGTTCAGTAACTATTTTTATAGTAAGGTGTGCATGGATTTTACATGCCAAACCACATTATACTTGCCTTGCAAAAAGATGGATCTATAATCGAGTTTAGTCTGATTTTTGGGTTATACATTACTGATTTTCGCTTTATACAAGGTTTGTGTAAGATGTGTGCGAGTGGTGTGTCTGCAAGAGAGTCCCGTACTTTGGCTGTAGGACCTGGTCCATAGTCATGTCGCCAAACACTTCTCTCAAGATCTTCTCCAGCTCATCGGCACTGTAGACCACCCCAAACCGTGCCTTGGCAAACACCTTGTTCTTGAGTCTGAAGTAGAGCTGTCTCACTTGCGACAGGGGGAGCTTGGCTGTGGGAGATAAGAGGTAGAGAGAGAGAGTAGTTAAGCATAGATACACTCGTTTTATACTCTGGTGCTCACGAAAACCGACAAACTGCTCCACTGTCAAATGGAAATTTTTGTGGGTGTGGTCTGAGGGCGGGATTACGTAACACTCACCATAGACCAGAGCCAGGGCAATGATTCCTCCAGTTGACGTGCCAACGATCCAGTCAAACAGCTCAGTGGTCTTTCTTCCAGTAGCCTCTTCCAGTTGAATTAGAGCCTCGATTTGAGACAGCCCCTTCATCCCACCTCCATCAAGGAACAGTAGCCTGCTGCCTCCCTCTAGTCCTGCCAGTATTGGGTTGTCCCTGGGCGATTTCTACACAATGAATAATTATGATAATCAAATTATTCATACACAGCAGCGAATTTTCATATCGCAAAATGTTCTGTATTGCGTCTTCTATGTATGTGCTTGTGGGTGAGCCAAACTGTCTGGGACGAACGCAGGGAATGGTATAATTAAACATCACCACAAGCAGTGAATTAATGAGAGAAAGTATCATATATACTGGCTGGCAAATCTCCACACCTTTAGCACCGACTGTTATATAATGTTTGTATGCTTGCCTGCAAACTCTCCCAGGATTTTCTGGGATTCTACCGGTACAGAAAAGAGGTTCATCCAAGAAATATTCTTAGACTACCGGAATTTTGTCTATCTTGCATGTGGGCAAAGCACATTGTTGCAAACTTTCCTGTGTATCAGGAATCTGAGAGCTTTAAATTATGTAGCTAGGTGGCCCTCATTTTAGTTTCTAAGCATTTTCAAGATTAATTTGCATGCAAGTTGTGTGCATCTAGGAAACACTTAGTTATGCCGTCGAAGGCCTGAAGAGAATTCTAGACGTGAGCTATATCAGTACAAGTACAGGACACACCTTCTTGAGTGTCTTGTTGAAGTGCTGCATCTCTTTCTGCTGGTGAGCGATGGCCATCAGCTCATCAGCTCCGTTCCTCCCGAGAGATAGAGACAGAGAGAGTCTCTGGTTCACGTAGTTCTCCAGCTCCTGGTAGAGTTTGGCCGTTCCCCGCCGCTGGATGTACTCTTGGAGCCTGTCGCAGGTCTTGAGGCGCTGGCCGTGACCAGGTCTCGAGAGAGACTGGTCAAGTGAGTAGAGAGAGGGTACCTATGAGTGAGGGGGAGGGGTTTGCAGTGGCTTTCATCAACGGCGAAAGGGAATTTTTACTAAAGCTGCTATTTATAATGTGTATTGCATTGGCCCCAATCCGTAGGTCAGATGCTGTGCTCTTCTTTATATTAAATTCACGAAGATAAGAGGAACTCTCCTTTATTACTGTCTGTAGGTGACTAAAATTGAAGGGCTGAGAACCAGAATGGTGTAGCTAACCCACAAAGGGCCATTTATACCCCCTTGATATTTAATATGCGTTTTGGAAGGAGACAATCTTTTGCAAAATCCCATATACCTCACTTTTTAAAAGGATACCCTACCCGTATTCCCCCCATTTTTGCACTCTTTATGCAATTTGCCATACTTAATTTAGGGGTATACCACTCCGGTTCTCAGCCCTTCAATTATTATCCCTGGAGCCTACCACACTTGGTTGTTGCTGCATGACTATGAGTTTGGCGCTCCCTTTTGCTCCATGCTCCAGTAGAACTTTCTCCACCTCGGAGCACTGGCAGTGGATGGCAAGGTCGAGAGGGGTAAAGTCGTTGAGCCCCTGCTCGTTAATGTTGGCTCCGAAGACCAACAGAGTCTTCACCAGAAAAGCATCTCCTGTCTGATGGAGTGAGGCGATGTGCAAGTTGGGAAGAGGAAAGTTAGCGGGTTGAGTGTGAAAGTGTGACACAGAAAACAAAAGGTGTAAGAGCTAGTGAAAAGAATGGGTAAGGAAAAAAACTGGGCAAAAATAGCTAGGAAGATGCAGATAGAAAAAGAGGGATTTAGCAATTCTAGAAGTGTGTGCACAAATACAACCAAAGGTCATCAAGCATGCATTAGTGAGGATAATGAACTGAAAATTGCTTGCATCTCAGTGAAATCACTGCCGTCTCTCTTCTCTCTCACCTCAACGGCAAGATGGAGGGGTGTGGCACCTCGGGGGGTCTTGAGATGAATGTCGGCGTCGCTGTGTACCAGTAGAGCCAGGACCACACCCACTCTGTCCCTCCTCTCTCTCTTCACCAGAGAGTGGAGGGGAGCCTCACCAGTCTTGTCCAGAGAGTTCACCTCCAGGCCTTTGGCTCTCTCAAGTACTGCCACCAAACACTGTGGGTAAACCCTTGTTATTACAGTGAATAATTGACACTCTAAACTCCGATGAGATATCTAAAGACACACAAGCAGTCTTTTTACTTGATCAGTACCACTGCAACTCATAGCTCTATGTCGATAATCGTTCTACTTTGCTTTCACGAGTTGCATAGCATAGAGATGGTAATATGGAAAACACGTGGAGAGCAAACACACAGTGACTTATGCAGTCTGGGGAACTGCAGGGTGTCGCTGGTGTAACGGGTGAGTTGAGGTGTCTGCTGTGAGGTGAGACAGACACCAGTGCGTGTGTGTGAATGTTCAATTGGTGTGTGTTCGTTTGTTAATGGTTCCGCCCATTTCTCTGGGTGCGTGGTCGATGGCCCTAGTACTACGGCTGCCCAGTGGCGGATCTAGGATTTTGAAAGGGGGGGTTCCACTGTCCACAATATTTTTGACTGTGCTCGTGCACGCGCACGAGGCTATATTGACGTATGTGACCAAAACAAAAAGGGGGGTTCTGTGGAACCCAAGGAACCCTCCTGGATCCACCACTGCTGCCACCTGAGTTCTACTATGCATTCGCATAACTCAGGGCAGTAGTTGCCCACTCATACCTGTGCAATACCATAATGTAGTCTGTATTTAAGTCTACTATTCAACACAGCATATTCTCATTCATTACCCGTGAATCATACCATAGTAATAAAGATAAGCGTGTGACACTCTCTCAGTGTAGCTACCTCAACATTTCGAGGGTTGTATGTGGCTCTGACTGGATTCTGTAGTTCCCGTCGAATGAGCTCTGGATCGACCACTTCGGGCGGAGGAGTGTCTGATGACGACGGCTGCCTGCGATGACCTCGCCATCTATAGACCACCTGTGGCCAGAGAAAATGAAGAGAGAAAATGGGGATACAAGGAGAGAAGAAGAAAAAAAACAGGAAAAAGAAAAAGAAAAAGTCAGCCTCTGCACTTTGAACTCCTGTTAAAGTTCATGTATAGAAGATTGACTCTGGGGCATTTTTAAAGTGCAAGACATGACGAATTATGGACTAAAATGCACCTAAACTCTACAACGCGGCCAAATTTAGGGACAGACAGAGTGATGAAGAGAGTAAAAAGGTAGTGAGAGGAATGAGCGATGAATGAAAGTATGTTGTAGGAGGATATTGTTGAAAACCATTTTGTGGTATATATACTTGTTTAATCCTGCACACAATGTCGGCTAATACCTTCTCAGTCTCGTTGAGATCGTCCAGATTATCCACTGAACTCGACCTCAGCATTGTTGAATCTCTCGCTGCCAAGTCGAGAGGTACGGATTGCTGTTGCTTCAGCCGCAGTCGGAGGTCAGGGTCCGAGTCGTTGCGGCGGAGACGTACATTGTGTGCCCTGGCTCTGTGGCTGTAGACACGAGCATGTCTGGGCTGGTTGAAGGGTGCTACCTGTGTTGAGAGAGAGAGAGAGAGGGAGTAAGAAATGAATCTGAAGCAGGAGAGTTATAAACTTAGGCACGGAAAGACGTAGGATTGTGAGGTACGGAAAGGACCGTTTGATTTAACCTTACCACAGCATGTTGTGTAGAACCTCATACATGTATATAGAAAATTGGCTGAAAATCGGTAGCGATGGAAGTAAATAACATGCGTACCTCACTACTTGTTCGGCGGTGTTTGCTATTCTCCGGGAGTTGGCCATCCACTGTCTCTATGACACTGGACCTCCCATGAACAGCCTGTGATGAAGAATTAATAGAAAACAAATATCTTCTTAATTTGATCATGCTATGCTATGTAGTTCAGGCATGGGGAAAATTAAATTACTTACTTATGCTGTACAAACTTAGATAATTTGAAATGAGTGGAGTTTTACAACAATGCCAGTTCATTGAAATGTAGAAAACAGATTCTGTATAATTATAAAGTTACTAGTAGAGGATATGGAATACCCTGCAAAATACAGTGCAGCGTGTACTCTCTGTAAAGCACACTTACACTGGAGACCATTAAAGCTCTGACTTGGTTGGCAGACAGAGAGACAGGTTGCTCAGGAGGAGGAGAAGACTCGGAAGACGATCTTCTTTTGCTCTGTGGCGGAGTGCGTGGATGAGACTGGTGGCGACCGGCAAGCTTCTTGAACAGCGACTTCATGTCTACCTCAAACTTCTATCCCTGTTTCTTTCAACGACCCTCTCTCTCTGTCTCTGAATCTCTGTTGCACTCAGTTTTAATCCGCTTTGCTTTTCTCTGCACTTTGTCTGTTGAATCAATCTCTTTCTGTTGTGTATTATACTCTTTTGCTGTAAATATAAGGAACACACAAATGGTCATCTATTTCAAGCTGTAACAGTTAGGAATCCTGGTGGCGTCTAGACCCACAGCAGTGCCACTGCACATTACTATATACCTCGCTGTAAGGGTCATTGGTCTCCATCAGAGCCAATGAAACTCTATACGAGGCTCAACTTACCAGACCTTTGGCAAAGGTCTGCTATATAGCTATAAGTATATCACGGCATTAGTTACAGACTGGATATCGCGTCTCGAGAGCTCCAGCTCATTTCACGCTCCATTGAAGCGCCACGCAGGCGTACAGTACCCTGTCACTGAAACCTCCAGCCTCTAGCTATCTCTAGCTACACGAACGACACAGTATATATGGGATCGTGCACACTTACTTTTCCAGCCTTGGCTTTTATGTGCGGGGAACAGGACTAAGGTTGTTGTTGTCCTCTCCGCGTTCCTGGGTCTAGTGAGAAAATTCTTAGGTCATTAGGCCTGCCATACGAGCTGTTTCAATCCACAGGGGACGACACTCCTCCATGGACGATGCACTATACACGCGTACACACACGCCCCTCATGCCCGCCCAGCACCACGGACGAGCCCCACCTCCTTTTGGTGGACCCCTATGCGCATGCGTCCTGGATCGGGGCTACTGAAGTGGGTGTGGTTCCCTCGCTATGGCCGGCTATACAGTACACACACACCCGACTCTCTGCCTATAACATGTCCGAGTCAATCGAAGCACCAGCGGACGTCTTCGACTGGATCGCCACTCCAGCTCCGTTCAACCTGAACATATGCGGAGTGAGGGCAAAATTTTCTGGAGATAGCAGCATCGTCAAACGGCGAGCTCCTGAAAATATAGAGGGTGGGTGTGTCTTGCACGAGTGTAACTCCTCGACCGTTCGTCGTTTCGGCTTCAGACAAAGACCGGCAGAGACGCTAGAGAGTAGAGATTTCATACTGCGCGCGCCTCGCGAGACTTTTGAAAACGGCGGGCGGTTGCGCGTTCACACAACTGACTGCGCGCGGATCGGAGCAACCGGCAATGACGTCACGCGTGATTGCAAAGAAATTGCTCTTGCCGCTGATTTTAGCGCCATTGCGCCAGATTGACACACCCCCCGGCCTGACTGTGACTAGAGGCGTCGTGCGTCATGGCTAGCACAACTCTGCGGGTGCTAACGCTGCAGTCTCTGCAAGCAGCCGGATCGCAGCTCAGTATACGTTACAGCTATGGAAAACACCGATTTTCTCTCTCCTACTGGTACGACTTCGACCTCGAGCCTTTGGACGGAATTTACGGGAGTGATTTTATGGAGAAAGTTTATACTCACTGCGCCGCATTCTCCATTTTTCATCTGTGCAGTTTGAAACCCGACCTATTAGACTGGGGACCATACTCTCGTTGGCATACTGCCGAATTTGAGCGCGTGTGGAACAGCACGTGGAGTGGATTGTCAGGACAATGGCGCTACGAGAACGACTTACCGGATATAAGCGCACCGGCGTTTATTTCAAAGCCGTCATCTGCTACTAATACGATTACAATTGAGTCGCAAAGCCCCCCTACTACACTAGCTTTCTTTGGAGGAGGAAAAGATAGTCTCGCCATGTACGAACTACTCTCCAGGACCGGTATACCATTCTCCTGCGTATCGTATTCCCACTCTGTGTACGGTCGCTCCGTTGTGCAGCACCGATTGTGCGACAAGGTACTAAAGTTGCTAAATTCCGAATCTTGCAAACATCACCACAAGCTGTGTATAATGGAGGATTTTCTCGATAGCCCCGTTTTAGAGAGTATTGGTAAACGAGTGGGTATAGAGTCGTTCATGGAGGGTGAAACACCAGCGAGTTTGTTCTCTTCGCTACCCATCGTGCTTTACTATCGCTACACAAGCATAGCCATCGGGAACGAACGCAGTTCCAACACAGGTAACCTGGTGTGGGAGCACACCGGTGAGGATATCAACCACCAGTGGGGAAAGTCGAGGGAAGCGGAAATCCTCTTCAGTGAGTACATACAGCGGGCCCTTATCAGCAATGCTCCCTACTTTAGCGTGTTGCAGCCACTCTACGACGCAGTAATCTTCAGCGTGGCTGCGAGCCGCCTCGAAGCTGCGATCTTTACTCACTCCTGCAATTTCGTAAAGCCCTGGTGCAAGCGTTGTCCAAAGTGTTGCTATGTTTGGCTCATGTTCATGACTTTCTTCCCGTGCAACGTTGTCGATGAAATGTTCCAAGGAGCAAATCTGCTTGACATTCCGCAAAACGAGATACATTTTGTGCAGATGCTTGGGCTTGGTTCAAACAAGCCTTTTGAATGTGTCGGAGATATTGACGAGGCGAAACTTGGCTTTGAATTATGTCGAAGAAAAGGGCTACAGGGCAAAGCGATGGACATATACAAGGAAAAGCTTCTTCAGGCAATGGACGAGAAAGCTTTGGCTAATTTATTTAGCAAGTACACTACGGTGTATACTTCCGACCCGAGCAACGCCCCACCTGCAGTATGGGACCGCCTGTTCCCAATACTAAAGCAAGCAGCAGTTGATGCAAGAAAACGAATTGAAGCTGAACTGAGTCGTATTTATTAACAATTTCCTGTTTCCTTTGTGGAATGCAAGGCGGAAACAATTAATCATGCGCGTGTGGCGCACGCACAAGCAAGGGGGAGGGGACTCGTGCTGACTCAACGTCAGCGGGTTGACTGGGTTGCGTGGGCGAGTATGCAACTCGAAGACGCAACTGATGATGACGCGTGCACAACCTCCTCTATCTCTGGGGTAACTAACTGCCGTTGCCTTAGTCTCGTACCCAGATCCGCCCCCTCTCTCTCTCTCTCTCTCTCTCTCTCTCTCGAGGAAAACGGTCTGGTGACATTTAAGCGTTTCTTGGTTGTGCTGAACCAGAAGCCTTGTGACAAGTTACGTACGCTGCCTCCGCATGATCGTTCCAGCGTGCCGCTATAATTAACCCTCGCGCGCATGCGCAGCGAGGGTTACGGTAGTTGTCCCGTAAGTGTGTCAGTCAGTCTGTCTGTCTGTTACCACGTTTTCTGCCACCGCGCGCACTAAATCAGGTAAATAACGATATGATCGGGTTCAGTGCTACACTGGGTTGATTTTTAAAAAGGCGATTTTCGTAAAACTACTGTGTTTTAAAGTTATGGCGTGAAAACCAAGTGAACAAGCCTATATGTAAATTAGCACAGGCTTACCCCGACCGCGTCCGTCTCGCTCTGTGTGTCTTGAAGGCACAACAAGTCACAACGAAGGGCATGTATCGACTCCCGCGTGCTATTTACTACTGTAGCTAGCCCGTGTCAGACTCTCCGCGAGCTACTAGCGGGATACCACGAGTAAAGGCATAAAAAGCCCAGCCCATCAATTAGTGGTACCGCACATGCGCAGTTCGCCGAGGGTTTGCACTTCAGTGCTTTTCATTATAGTCGGTGACAAAAGGCTACAAAGACTAATTGGATTCATAGTCGGATATAGTGAACAACATTTGCTTGTTTCCCCACTCCCGTGGAACTGTAATAGTGGCCTCGGCTGCATAATCCCCATAGGTGAGGTGTTGATAGTTTATATCTGTGGCATTTTCATAGCCATTCTTTGCCCCAGGATTCTCATCGCTGATTGAAATGTATGTCTTGTAGCTTCCAACGACAGGATTGGTAAAACCGATTATCACGTACTTCACTTTTTCTCCCTTCGATTGCATTTTAAATGTGCAGCCTCCTGTAACCCCCGTAAAAGCACCAGGTTTGCTTGCGACATACGCCACAGAAATACTGCATGGTGGTATGGTACTTGAGCTGAGCGGTTCAAACCATATCCCTGTGAAGAAGTAATCCTCGTCAAACTTTAGGGTGGTTCCCTTCGTTTTGTTGTAGATGATGAGCTCTAGGCTCCTCCAGAGTTTCTGAAGAGCCTTCACAGCACCAGTTAAATTTAGTTTTTTGCCACCTTGCGCACTCTCGGCGTTCTCATCTTTCGGCATTTGCATTTGCTGTACTTCTTTGGTGAGCTGCTCAATTCTTTTTTTTTGTTCTTCTTCCTGGTCTTTCGGAGGAGGTTGCTGCTCATTGCAGCTGTTTTCACCGGCTATGCTCTCTTTCAGGGAAATCAGGCAAGAGCACAATTCATCAGCCGTTGGTCGCATACTTTCCTTGTCTTGGAGGCACCCCACGGCTATGACTCGGAGTGGATGTGTGGGAGCGATGATCTCAAGGTGCTCCCTGCGACGTTCCAACTCGGGGATGTCCACATGCACTTGGCCCATAGGGAAACGAGGGTCATCTATTTCTTGCTTGCATGTGTTAGGGCCTGGGTTTGGAAATTTGCCAGTGATGAGTTGAACAAAGAGCACACCGCAAGAAAAGACATCTAATTTACTAGTGTAAATTGGTGGTTTAGCCAATGCCTCAGGAGCCATGTAACAGGACGTTCCGGGACATGTGGTGAGACTAAGTTGGGGATTGTCTTCAAAGACCTTTGCCATTCCAAAGTCGGATACTTTTGCTCTCTGGCTGCCAATGAGAAGGATATTGTTGCTGCTGAGGTCGCGGTGCAGTAAATCGTGACGATGGAGGTGGGAAATCGCTTGTGCTATGTCATGGGCAATGTCCACTTGCACGTTGAGGGGGATGGGAGAAGGGTTGGCTGGTCGTTCTAGGAAACGGGTTAGGCTCTCATCCATCAGCTCCATGAAGAGAACAGGCAGTCCTGTTTCAGGATCTGCACATGAGCCAAGGTACTGGATGATATTGGGGTGCCTAAGGTCCTTTAGGAACTCGATCTCTTGCTGGAAGCGCTCCAAATTTCGGTCAGTGGCGGGATTCCCGGTGAAGAGAATGGGGTGAAGGACTTTGGCTGCGCACAAAAGAAGGTCGCACCTTGCCTTATAAACGGCGCCGTAAGACCCGGCCCCTAGTTGATTTTTCTCCGACTTCACCAGCTGGACATTAAACCCAAAGCGCCCCTGGATTCGTAGCTGCTGCGCCATTTTTGCAAGATAGCTCGAGATAGCTATAATACCTACTAGCTATGATGATCATCTACATCTAGTCAGCAGCATTGGGGATCTCTCCGGTTTAATCGACTCGTCATCTCTACCAAAGGCTCGCAATATCTCTCTGGAGCGGAAATGCATCCGCCTGGATTCACCGCAGTCCACAACTCACTCCCTCTTTAGATGGTGTATATAATTTGACTTGCTTGTTTGTGTTGTTTTGTGTTTTTTGTTTTGTTTTTTGTCCTTTTTTTCCTTTTTTGTGTTCTTTAAGCCTATCCTATAGTATGCCGGTTCTTACTTTTCTTTTCTCTTTGCTCATGGTGCGTCTGTGTCTGTCCTTTATTAGTGACCTTGCATAAATAAAAAATATGTTTTTTCGTGCCTGGAAAAAATTAATGCGAATTGTTCACAGAGAAGCACTTACGCGTCAATTGACAGTGTTGCAAGAGGACTTCCATTGTTTGGGAGTTAGCTATCGTAATGTTATTAGTATGGCAACATTCTCAACGTGCTCAGATAAAGCGCACAGAATTGTATACTCCTTGTGCTGTGTAGCGCGCATGCGTGCGTGCTTGGGGATAATACGCATGCGTGTATCTAGCGCCAGCGCGCAGATAATATTACTGGCGGAGCTCGAGCGGACCAGCCAGAAAACTACGGCCGGAGTTATGGACAGAAACTGCGTATCCTCCACGTGCCTACGACGGCGACGTGGTTCTACCTCCGTCGGCTCCTCGGGTCTCCACTACCTTGTGTGCAGCGCTGTCATCATCTCAGTCATCATCCTGCAACTGCCGAGTGCAAGTTTCGCCGCAGGTTCGTCCGCTGGAAGTGGAGAAGGACGGGACGGGTCTTCCTCCGGTAGCGGTACGGCTCCCAGCTCCATCCCGCTCAATTTCATCTTCCTCAGCTCCGACAACCCTCGACTGCGGACCTCCGGCAGCATACCTGCCGTGGACATTGCTCTGGAGATGGTGACACAGAGTGGGATACTCGGCAAGTACAAGCTCCAGTACACGGAAGCCCTGGATTCCCAGGTGAGTGACGGAGATCTATAGCTAAAGAGGATAATGTGAAATGTTGCAGAATCTTTATGTGGAGTGCGATGGCTCTGTAGGTAGCTAACAAACATAGCATTGTGAACTGGTAGCTAAGTAGCTGAGTGTGTCTGTGCTGCAAGACTTGGCTTTTCTAATGTATTAACGGCTGATGGAATTGTAGCATGCATAGTTTGTTTCTGAACAAAAACCATGGCCCTGTATGCTTAGCTGTGTTGGAGCGAAAGTGCACATTCACAGTTGTAGTAAACAGCTACCAGAGCCATGAGTAAGGTGTGACATTGGTTCACTTGGTGAGAGGAAGTGTAAAAGTTCATGAAGTGTGGGTGGACAGAGCAGCATGGCTTGTGGTAAACAGTCACAGTTGCTGTGCTGATGCTAACAGTTTCCAAGTGAGTGAGGTGTATAATGCCCCCTCTGGACCTCTGGTGCATATTTATAAAAATTATACGTTCTATGCTGATAAACAACTAACCTCGTGTGTTGTTTCTGCACAAGCTACCCTAGCCTTTGATGCAGTGTTTCGTACCCCACTAGCTGGCAGATAATTATGATTTACTCGATACTCCCTGCCTCATAAAACAACAAGTACTGTATTTGTTCTTGGTGCCTCAAAATTGTTGCATCTGCCAAAATATACCAAATTACGCTGATATACGTTGATTTTTCTACAGAACATCCAAATCCTAAACTTGTGTGATTAAAAAACAAGTGAACATCTAGGTTTAGACTAACCCAATGTGTCAAATCTTGCACACATGAATAGGGATAACTTAGTTTTCCCAGCCCTAGCCACCAAGAGTTCTTGAAGTGTATTTTAGTGCCAGCTGTTGGATTCTGTAGGACAGTGTATGTGGTGGTATGTGGTGGTATGGCTAGTGAGGCTCTGTTTGTGTAACCGTGGCAGTGTTCTAGTAAGTGGGCAGTACCGTAGTATACTGAATCACTACTATGTTCACCGCTATGATAGCTATTGCGTGGGCTGCCCGCTTGGACAGCAACCAGCACGTGTAATGAGGGGAACCAGCAACATACTGCAGATTTATGAGCGTGGGAGTAGCTACGTTCGCAGACCTTAAAAGGATACAATACGTAGGACAAGATATGAGGGGCGGGGCATGTAACACACAGGATGTAGACCATGAGATAGTTGTATATCTTAGCAATAAGCTGTAAAAGTTGTCTTTCGAGGGGGCAAAGGGAGGAACATATGAACCTGTGTGTATCAGGGGCGGGCAATACGTTTCGATGCTGAGCATTGCTCCTATGGTATTAACTATATGGTATGTTATGGTGTTTGCTTGGAGACCATGACAGAAATTTCTTGGGCTAAGATTTAGTCCATGTTGGCAGGTTACGGACTTTCCACTTGTACTTCCATCCATGTTTTCTGGCAAGTTTTGCTCTCCCCCTATTACAGTGCACTCTATTTAGAGAGTATGTATGTACTGGAGACAAGTGGCTCATAGTCACAATTCATATACAGTACTGCTATCATAGTGTTAGTATATAGCTAACCATTGGGAGTAGTGGTTACTTTATACCTGGCCTCTGCTGTACATGTACCTAGTGTGTTATTAATGTCTCCTAGTACAGGAGGTGAATAGAGAGTCACTGCTCATGGATGCTCTTTTCCAGCTCCAATAGAAAAAATACCCGCCGTACTTTTACTGTATTAAGACAGTCACCTGCAATTATTAGACATAATGGAGGTAGTGCCTAGACAATACTTACTGGGAGTTTCAGCCACTATATGCAGTCTGTGGCCACTATGTGCGTTAAGCTCAAGCCATTCGTGCCCAAGACTGTCATTGCGGCTTCATTCATATGCACATAGCATAATGTGGTGTATATATGTTTTGTATGTATAATGACCTGTACACACACCTGTGGATTCTCTCCAGTTGGTTTAGGGTTGTCAAGTGAAAGAGAGAGCATTATGTCAGGCTTTACCCCTATTCAGTACACGGTGGCTGGATAGGGTGTATGGGTCAATTGCTTGGTTGCTAGCTAGCGTTGCAACAGATCCAACGATGTGGAACTTACTGCAGTGTTTATCGCTATTGACAGCGTGTGTAGTTTGACTCACTTCATTGACCCCAAATGCCTTCAAAACCGACAAAGGGCCACTGCATGGAGAAACAGTTCTCACTGGTGGAAATTTAGCTAGTCTGTATTTTGTAGAGAACAATAGTTTTTGCTAAATTGGTTTTCGTTACTCTTGTTCGTTTGTTACGACAACTGTAAAACTTGTTTGTTAACAAAGTCTTCTCCCAAGAAGCCCAAACTGCCCTGACATCTCATCTCATCAGCAGCAAGCCGCATGTTTTCTTTTTAATGCACACCGAGTGTTTTATCTATAGCGATCTAAGCCTTGTCTTTGTCTATGAGCCCTTGTCTGTTTTGTTGTCTTTTGTTGTGCACAGTTTTAAAAAAAAATAGACACCACATGATGTGTAATGATGTCTGTAAAACAGCTGAAAGTTGCAGTTATAATTTGCATTATGTCGTGCAATCTTGGGGTCTATAGGTACACATACATGTGTTTCCTTCACATTTCCTGCAATTTACTCAATCAAGTCCATACTTACACAGATGTGTGGGTGGCGCTGACTGGTATAAAATGCTGCAGCCCTGGCTGTCTATAGCTACGTCATTGTGGTTCAAAGCGGGACACCATAGGCATGTGAAAACTATGAGGTAGAAAGGCAAAGGCACAACAAACAAATTAACTACACCCAGGACAGCTCTTTTTTTCCAAGGAGAAATAAAGAGCTGCCCTGGGTGGGATTCGAACCCACGACACTCTGCAGTCTAGGCGAGCGCTCTACCAACTGAGCTACCAGGGCAACTCAGCTGGTAGGGGTTCGAATCTACAACACAACACAAGGCAATTAAGGCACACCTCAAACCACTGTGCTATGGCACAGTAAATGAGAGGTGCCATGCCAGGGGAATGTTGTTTACTTCCTCTAGCTGCCGGTTGCCGGTGGTGACTTAGTCTGTGGGAGCCAAACATGTGAACTAACACAAACACTGCTGTATTCTGTATCTAACGTGTATTAACTAGTGTTTTGGGGGCTGTTCTTTATACGTACATTCAACCCAATGATGACGTCATTACTAATAGTATGGTCTTAGTAAGTACACTAAGGATCTGTAACAACAACGTGTGTTTTGGAGGACTCTTGTTAATACATATGGAGCCTACGTTCAGCTCAATGATGACGTCATTACTAATAGTATGGTCTTAGTAAGTACACTAAGGATCTGTAACAACAACGTGTGTTTTGGAGGACTCTTGTTAATACGTATGGAGCCCACGTTCAGCCCAATGATGACGTCATTACTAACAGTATTGTCTTAGTAAGTACACTAAGGATCTGTAACAACAACCTAAAAGGGCCACTAATAAAAGAAAGTATAGACACTACATGAAGATAACGAGTACATTACATGCATAAACGAGCGCGTTACAAGTACAAATTGGCCACATTCCACTGTTGTATTATGTCATCATTGTGGGTGGCCATAGTCACATAACAGACACATTGAAAGAAATGCATGCTGAAACAGAATGTATAGTGATGTGGAGCGTGCTTCTGCTGGTATTGTCTATACTATGGAGAACTGTTGTGTGTAACAAACTGGTCCGAAAGTAAAGCTTGTTGGTATATACAATACAGCATATTTCAACAGCCAGCTAAACAGTCAGTGTGGGTGGGTAGACAAGCACCCTGAACTATATGTATAATGAACTTGCATAGGAAGAGGGTGCTTTAATCATAAATGAGCTCACATCCTCTTGACAAAAATACATCCACATCCTGTTGACAAAGATGCATCCACATCCTGCATGAATATAGGATGGTTGACATCCTTATTAGCTCAGTGCATTCCTGTGACTTTCTTATGGATATTGAATGATTCATTTAAGGATGTCATTGTCTGTACACCTATATACTAATGTCCTGTCCATAAAACTGCACCTCTGAATGGTGTACCAAAAACTGGTTAACCCAAAAACAGCTCATAGCTCATGAAAAAAAACCCATGACAGTTTGCACAATGGGTTTAGACACACATTTGACCATTTATGTCTGTGTATACGACCTATGCCATGTAGCTATAGTGTGAGATGTACGTATGCGTTGTTCAGAATTTGTCTGCTCAAGAGAAGACAAATTGTGCAGATTGTCCAAAAGTACAACTTTACACTTTCTTCTCTTTCTTCCTTACTCCCTCCCTTACTTCACTCTTTCTTGCACCCCTCCCCCTCTCTCCTCCCCCCCTCTCGTCTTCCCTCTCTCTTCCACAGTGCGACAGAACCCAGTCACTGGACATGTTCCACGAGGCAGTGAGGAAGAGGAAAGGAGAGACGTTTGTTCAGAACATAGCCATCATTGGAGCTGGCTGCTCAGTTGCCACTCTGCCCGTGGCCGAGATATGCCACTACTACAACCTTCCAATGGTGAGGGATGAGGGAGCGAGATATCAGAGGAAGAGTAAGAGAGGGGAGAGAAGTGTGAAGAGAGGAGGGAGAGAGAAAAGGAGAGGGAAAGGAGAGGTAATATATATAGACTGGGGGGAGGGTAAAATAGTATGTGTATATTTTGTTAGGGGAGGCTGTTGTGAGTTTTGAGTTTTAAGGAACGGAGGCTGTTTTTTTTGTTAATCTTTCAGTTTTCGTTACTACTACTGTGGTGGTGTTGTGTTGTTGTTGTGTGTACGTACTACACCGTATCATACGTACCATGTGCCTCCAGCTGTCCCATCTTTCTCTGTCGTCATATTTTCTCTTGTCCCTGAGCTCCCTGGTGCTTGTTTTCAATATGCTGGCATGCAGAGCCTCCAAATCAGTGGTATCTCGTAGTAAATTTCCTAAATTTCCTACATTTTTTCCTCTCCTTGCACGTTGTCTCTGCTACACTTCTTGCTAGTCTGTATTAATTTTCATTATTATAATACATACATTTTTCGTGGTATATCATCTTGAATTCTGTATCAACCACCTTTCTATACTTTTACCAACCACCTTGCTGTACTTGTTACCAACCACCTTGCTGTACTTTTACCAACCACCTTGCTGTACTTGTTACCAACCACCCTGCTATACTTGTTACCAACCACCTTGCTGTACTTTTTACCAACCACTTGCTGTACTTGTTACCAACCACCTTGCTGTACTTTTTACCAACCACCTTGCTGTACTTTTACCAACCATCTTGCTATACTTTTACCAACCACCTTGCTGTACTTTTACCAACCACCTTGCTGTACTTGTTACCAACCACCTTGCTGTACTTTTACCAACCACCTGCTGTAACTTTTTAAACAACCGACCACCTTGCTGTACTTGTTACCAACCACCTGCTGTACTGTACCAACACCTTGCTGTACTTGTTACAACCACCTTGCTGTACTTTTACCAACCATCTTGCTATACTTTTACCAACCACCTTGCTATACTTTTATATTGGTGTACTTTTACCAACCACCTGCTTTACTTTCATCACCACCACCTTCTGTACTTTTACCAACCACCTTGCTGTACTTTTACCAACCATCTTGCTATACTTTTACCAACCACCTTGCTGTACTTTCACCAACCACCTTGCTGTACTTGTTACCAACCACCTTGCTGTACTTTTACCAACCACCTTGCTATACTTTTACCAACCACCTTGCTGTACTTTTACCAACCACCTTGCTGTACTTTTTACCAACCACCTTGCTGTACTTTTACCAACCACCTTGCTGTACTTTTACCAACCACCTTGCTGTACTTTTACCAACCACTTGCTGTACTTTTACCAACCACCTTGCTGTACTTGTTACCAACCACCTTGCTGTACTTTTACCAACCACCTTGCTGTACTTGTATACATGTTATGCCACACCCACTATTTCTCTGTCTGACCCCAGCTGTCGTGGTCGTCCACAGCGGCGGAGCTAAGCAACCGTCGTAAGTTCAGGAGCAACTATCGACTCGCTCCGTCAGAGAAACTCCACTCGCCTGGTCTGGCCGCCCTCATCCGCCACTACCAGTGGGCTCAGGTCGCCATGCTAACACAACTAGAGTCACTCTTCATTGAGGTACTAACATCATAAACCATTATAATTATTTGTGTTCACAAAGGCTTAAAAAGAATTATGCCCCTGCCGCTAAAGTATGAGTATCGTTATGTTATCGTACTCCTTACTACCTTTACTATCATAAGGGCGGAATGATAAATACTATGTCTTTACTCCCCTATTATACTTCCTCTTTATGTTAAGTGTCATATGTATTACGGAGGTATATACTTCACTCTTTTCCTCCCTCCCTTGTTCTCTCCCTCTCTCATTCTGTCTGTCTCTCTCTCTCTCCATTTTAATGTCCTCTCTTCCTCCCTCCCTCTCCTCCCTCTCCTCCCTCCCTCCCTCCTTCTCCTCCCTCCCTCTCCTCCCTCCTCTCCTCTTCCCTCCTTCTCCCCCCTACTCCTCCCTCCCTCCCTCTTCCCTCCCACACCCCACAGGGCCAGAGAGTCGTGAAAAAACTTCTCCCAGAAGTCAGCATCGTCACCAGAGAATTCACGACCGACAGAGATCCACTGGCCGTCGAAGATTTCTTTGTCAAGAGTCGCGACATGCGAGTGTTCGTTCTCAACATGTACGTAGACTTTGCCAAGAAGATCCTCTGTGAGGTGAGAATTACATCATGGTGATGTCACTACTGCGTAAGAGAATCACTCTTACGTGTAATTTACCCTCGGTGCGCATGCGCAGCAAGGGTTACTTGGTGTTTGTGATTGCAGCTTTTAAGTAAAACTGCTTTATTCGAGAGACTAGTTGCACCATGAACCTTTATGTGGAGCGGCGGCGTGTTGTTATTTACTTAGCAGAGTTTGTCAAAGTGCTCTTAGTACATTTGGGGACTTGGGATGTGTTTGTGTTTTTATGGACCATCAATGATATTGGGAGCAAGGAGTGAGCCAACAGTTGCCTGTTCCCGTGATCTTCTAAATTTTCCTAATTTTATAAAACGAAAGTGAAAGACGTAGTTTGCCAAATGTGTGACGAAATGTTTAATTCTGTCGTGCAGGCCGTTCGGAGGGGCATGTATTACCCCAGATTCCTATGGATCACTCCAGGTAACTATATATACACTGCTGCACATGTCATGCTTGCGTAGTATGCATTGCAGCTTTAATAATGTAATACGTAAAAATAATTATGGGAGTGTGTGAACATTAACACTTAACCAGCCACGGACACATAAATGTGTTCAGTGCTTCCGTAAGTCCATAAGAATTTATGTGGGGGTTATAATACTAGGCGCTAATACTTTGTACGTGATTTTCTGGTTATCTTAGGAGATGCCCAAAGTGTCCAAAGTATTATAGTATTATAGCCATATATAAATTCATATGCACTTATGGAGGAGGCTCTGTGCATATATATATATATGTAAATGGCGCCCAAAGGGATTTATTAATGTTGTGAGACATCCACATATACGTTCTTGTGTGGCGCTCACAATTTTCTTGTGTGTTTCCGACTGTTTTATATATATATACTGCATTCAGTCGCTTGATACTATATATAATTATACCGGTGCTTCTACGTACATATTATTATACCTGTATATGTCTTATGTCTGTTTGTACATCGTAACTGGCCGTTACTTTGTGTGTACTTAACAGTTGTTTACAGTAATTGGGCGAGAGGAGTTTGTGTGCCACCACAGTGGAGGGGAGAGCCTACGAGTGGTTGTGGAGTACTCTGTGCGTATAGTATGACGTGTACTATTCCTGACCTCCAGCAGAGTGTAGTGGTGACACACTGAAAGTGGAGGTGGATTTAACAGGGGTTCATTTGTGTTGCACAGCTAGTGTCCTGGGGAAAAGACACATGCATAATAAGGCTGCTTTCGTATGTTTAAGAGGGGTGCCTGAATTTCATGCCTTTAATGGTACTTGGGAGCAGCTTGTTCTATAGTGATTTTAATGTGAAACTGCCCAAAACATCGTCCCAAG